CCCAGATGGTGCTATGATATATAACCTCGTCACTCACGTTCCGCCTCCCTCCCACCTCGCCCTTACTCCCTTCGACTTATACCGAGAACCCCTTGCTATAATAGCTCTGGCGGACGGCACCGAGCTGCATCAGAAGAACCTGAATAAACGACAATCTATGAACGGTGTAGGACCGACGACAACAGAGAAGAATATCAGAGCGTTATACCAGGAGCTTGAGGAACTGCGCGATACCTACCCCAAAGCCCTTGTGCATCACGTTCTAATCTTTGACTATGTCAACCCCCACGACACTGAGATCCCAATGCCTGAGGGCCTCATCGATATCCCTCCGCCCGAGAAATGTACGGTGACTACGATCAGGACAGTCATGTGCGACATCTCCTCGCTTCTGCTCGCTGAGATGACGACATTGGCCAAATCTTTCGAGGCCATGACGAATATCGAGTCTCCTGTACCTTATTCAACCTCTTCGAGGCATACTAATGGTGGCTCATGGGGTGGCGAAGGCGGTATAAATAGTCTTCTGAAGAGGAATTCGAGCATCGTTTCTTCCAAGCATTCTGCGCGCTCAAACTCGGCAGGCGGGATTATGGATAAGGCCCAGGCCCGCATGTCTATGCCAGCGAACAGTCGTCCAGGTCTCCATTCGAGTAACTCGACGCCAGGGTTGTCATCGACGCCTCCAAAGAGTAACCTATCGAACCCACCCATGTCCACGGATGGTCCAAGTCCTCCGGCTAGTGATCGGTCGACACCGGAACCGTCTGTGTTGCCAGAGACCATTGAGAGCTCTCGATCAGCTAGTCGCGATCGAATATCAACCCAGGGTTTTGGCGCTGGAGGCGTGAATGACCGCTGGAGACATAGAAGCAAGGGACGAGCGGCGGTAGTTGTTGGTTCGATGTTTTTACAGGCTGGTCGATGGACCGATTCTATCAAGGAGCTTAGTGATGGTGCTATGGCTGCTCGGTCTGTCAATGATCATCTGTGGCACGGTAAGGCGCTGGAGCTCATCTTGGTAAACCTGTTCCTCCTTGGCTGGTCCAATATCGAGTTTCATGTACCTACAGTGCTTATCCAGTTCCCGGACAAGCCAACCCATAAGCAAACCCCGGATCCTACACCCGAGGATCCCAATCAGCCGAAGCATCTTAGGAACCTTCAGGCACTGCTCCCTGAACTGCTTGAGCGTATTATCCTCCTCTACTCCAGGGTGTCTTCCGACAGCCTTCCTCCCTTACCACTATCCGAAACTTACATCCGATTTTCAAAGATCTACCAGGCTCTTCACCTGTCTAATGGCTACCTTGATCAAGAATCTCTAGGCATGATCGCGACTGGAATCGTCCCTGACCAACCTCTTGCGGCGCCACCGCGATTCGGTGTGACACCTTCGCGACAACAAATCGGAGCCATGCTGTTCAAGGCATTTCCTGCAGGTGCTTCTGAACTTCTTACGACTGTCGACCGAGCGTCCATTCTGAGCGGTATAGCGACTGTTCTTGGACCTTTGGGACTTCACCGAAAGAAGGCTATGGTAATAAGAGAACTTGTATCAGTTCTTATCGGTGGTCTGGTTGAAGCACGAACCCGAGGCGCTGCCGATATGGGCATTCATCCTGCGGCCGGGCTAATGTCGTTGACTTCTGGCGGTGGCGGCTCAAGCAGTGGCTCAATGGCCTTGGAAATTGGAGAGTGCGATGTCGAACAGGGTATAGAGGCCCTGATGACTCTGCTCTGCAAATCCTACGGCATTGTTGGGTTTGATTTGACCCGTAAGGCCGGCGCCAAGAACAACGAAGATGTTGATGATTCGGACGAGGCTGTGATTGCTAGGATACGTGGTCAGTCTGCGGCTCGCTTCTTCGGGTTCCCAGACGTTAAGCTTAATATTCTGAGAGCCTGTATCAACTTCTCGGAAGCCTTGCCGGATTTTGATGGCGTTTTACGGTTCTCGAGTGATCTCTTGCGTACATCTGGCTCTGGTGTCGCTCCGGGACCACGACGAGAGGATGCGTCACCAATGATCCTTCGAGATGAGCAAGTGCGGCTGGCTACCGGAATATCAAGGACTGCAGGTCTAGTACAGAGGCTGGGCTATAATGATATAGCAGCTGAGTACTGGGATGAGTTCTTTGTGAGAGGAATCAAGCTTGAGCCCTCACTAAACAGTAAAACGCCGGTTGCTCACTCAAAAAGCATCATTCCTGGTGCTGCTGCCAGTCGTGCTTCCCAGGATGTCGATCCATTCATCTACAACCCGTTTCTGAAGAAGCCTGATGAGGCAGTAACTCAGACTCTTGTGGCTGATGAATATGCTACCTTCAAGATTACACTACAGAACCCATATGATATAGAAGTTGATGTCGAGTCCATCCACTTGGCCACAGAAGGCGTTGAATTTGATGCTGTTAAGGAGGCAACGTTAGTTGGACCGTATCGAACTCAAGTTATACGGCTCAGGGGTAGAGCAAGGGAGGCGGGGACCGTCAAGGTTACCGGCGCCATCATAAAAGTCCGGGGATGTCGGGAGCGACGGTTCCCCGTCTTCTCTATGCCTTGGGTACCAAAGCAAGAGCTCAAGATCAAGGCCAAGGGCTTGGCTGCACTTGAGGAGGCCGTGACGGACGTCAAGCCTTTTGCTCCAAAGCTCGAGGCTGAAAGCATGACTCTTACGGCGATTCAAGCACAGCCGCTAGTTGTGGTCAAGTCCACCACGCTTGCCCAGTCTTCGATTATGATCTTGGAGGGCGAGAGGCAAGTGTTCTCTGTAACATTGCAGAATCTTGCAGCAACACCAGTAGACTTCATGCTCTTCTCATTCAAAGACTCCACGCAAGAGCCTTTGCAGACTGCGATCGGCAACCGAGATGCGACACCCTCTGAGCTCTACGAGTACGAGCTTGCGCTGATGAAGAAACAAGCATTGCGACTTCCTAACAGTCAAAAGACTCGTCATATTGCGCCTAATGGAGAGGCGACGTTTGAATTTGAAATCCTAGGCAAGCCTGGACTTACAACTGCAACAATCCAAGTCGATTATACGCATTTAGGATGCCCACAAGAAGAAATGCCTGACCAGTTTTACACCAGACAGGTATCCCTGGACCATACTGTAACTGTCAATGCTAGCGTTGAGCTTGCTCGAATCGATGCGCTCCCTGTGCATGGCGAGATTCCTCAGCCTTTGTGGGATCGCTTAGGCAGTTCCTTCACGGCAAAACCCGACGAATATTGCCTCTTGTCCGTGGATCTTCGCAATGCCTGGCCAAGTCAAATGCTGGTGCAATTAGAAAGCAACGACGGAATATCTGTTCAAGAAGACATTCTTCCGGGTAACACGAGCCGAGTTATCCTACCTGTCAAGAGGGTTTACTTAGAAGATCCTCATGCCACGATACCAACGCTCAATCCGTCTCGAAACCGACAGTTTGTGGTCAGTGCCAGCAAAATCTCACCCGAAACAGAACGAGCAAACCGTGAAGGTTTCTGGTATAGGGAAAGAGTTCTTGATTGCCTCAGGGCAACATGGAAGACGACGTCGCTACCTAAGAGGAGCGGCTCGATTGACTTGAGAAGCATCAGACTGACCACGCGAATGATCGAGGCAATTAAAGTTGATGAGGTCGATATCGAATTATCGGTTGAGGATGCCGATGGCAAGGCAGCTGAGAAGGGTGTGGCGTATGTTGATGAGTTTATGCAACTCAAGGTACGCGTTACCAACCGAACGGCTCAGAAAATCTATCCCCTCGTCAGGATTCTACCTGCGCTTTGCCATCGACCTGCGAATGTTGGCTTGGAGTTTACACGAAAGCTTGCATGGAACGGTACATTACAACAGCTCATCCCGGCATTGGAAGGACATGGTAGCGCAGAGATTTCTGTAGGCATGACAGTGCTCTGCCGTGGCGAGTTTGAGATATCGGCATCTGTAGAAGAGGTGCAAGTCTGGGAGGGACCTAGAGTTGAGCCTACACGGGCACGATCGGAGTCACAGACAATGCAGGATGCTGCTCTTGGTGTCAAGGAGAGACGTATTTGGCATGCGAGACAGCCTTGTATGCTGATGACGAGAGATCGCAAGTAGAAGGAAGAAGAGGGGGGGGTTTTGGCATGGAATGATTGTAGGCTTGTGTTCTGATCTATCTACGTTAAGACGATTGAGATTTATTCTATAATGCGATATAGATACTTAGCGAGTAACAAGGATAGCGACATGTATCCTACTATTTTCTTCTCGATTCATGAGGATGTCTTTGTCCCGGATAACAGTCTTCCATGATTGCTGCCATCATGACTACCCTGTAGTTCTAAATACTGAGGCTTTCCAGGAGGGGTTTTATTCCACGAAACTGTGTTTGTTGCTGTACTAAAGGCAAAACTAGGGTATGTTGAGAGACGTTTTATTCAAAGGATATGTCATAGATTGCTCGTTAACTGGCGTAAGTCTATGAACATCGGAAAGGCTGCCGGCTTACCGCGGTTCCCCAACACTCCATAAAAGGTCACAACAAGATTGGAAGACTACGTACTCTACACCCACCATTGGTGGTTGCCATATTCAGCTGAAAACAGTTGACGAAAAATTAAGTACCTGGGTAATTTTAGTTGTATCATTGGATAGGTAGGCAGTAAGGCAGCTCTATTGTTTATCATGCCGTCATCGACATAGCTTGTATCTCCTCATTTTGGAGCAAATGAGACACGAACAAGCAAGCAAATCCACAAGTAAACATCATAACCAATCCGTAAAGCAAGTGCATACGACATCTCCATAGGGAAATAGTCCCACTCTAAGTCGCCATCTGATTACAGAGCATTGATTGATACAAGGTGGGGGCCGCGGTACTTAAACTAACACTACGACTCCCCATCCTCGGCAACTCTTGATCATTAACAAACCTCATACTATTAGAAACCTTGTCAGTCAATTGGTTACAATCACACCAAAACACAAGCTCATATACAGTAATCCCAGTTATAAATCAGCAAAAATGAGCAGTCACAATATCCCCAGCTACAAATTGAACGACGGCAATGAGATCCCAGTGGTATGTCTCTAGCTTCATCTCAACAGAACTCACAGCATATTGCAGTATTATCATAAGAAGCTAACATCTGCAAGCTTGCATTTGGATTGGGAACGGCCCTGTTCAAGAAAGACTCTAAAACCGGACTTGACCAGCATGTAGTTGACATCACAACCAAGGCTATCAAGGCCGGATATCGTCATCTTGATGGTGCCGAGGGTGAGTTTATGTATACCTCCCAAAATTAATGACATTGCTAATAAATCAATAGTCTACGGAAATGAGGAAGAGCTTGGACAAGCCATCAAGGCAGGTGGTGTTCCCCGCGAACAGCTTTATGTCACCACAAAGATCCCTGCCGAGAAGAAGGGTTCTGCCATTGACGCCTTTGACGTTTCCCTCAAGAAGCTTGGTCTCGAGTACGTGGACCTCTACCTGATCCACGGCCCCTGGTTTGCCGAGACCGACGAGGACCTTTAGCAACGATGGGCTGAGCTGGAGCAGATCAGGGAGTCTGGAAGGGCCAAGTCCATCGGCGTGTCCAACTTCTTGCAGGTGCACCTGGAGCCCATCCTGAAGACAGCCAAGGTCAAGCCTGCCATTAACCAGATCGAGTACCACCCTTATCTTCAACATGGTAATCTCCTCGATTTTCACAAGAAGCACAACATTGCCGTGTCTGCTTACGGCCCCCTTACCCCTATTGTCACAGCCAAGGGTGGACCTGTCGACCCCCTCTACACAAAGTTGGCCGAGAAGTACGGCGTGACAGAGTCTGAGGTCGGTCTCCGATGGGTTATTGATCAGGACATCATTGCTCTCACCACAAGCAACAAGGTCGAGAGACTTGATGGCTACCTGTCCAAGATTCCCAAGTTTAAGCTGACTCAGGATGAGATTGCCGAGATCTCCAAGCTCGGTGCAGAAAAACACTTCCGAGGATTCTGGAGGAACAAGTTCGATGAAAACGATAGATCGTGAGCCTAGAGAAAGTGTGCTGTACAGTTCACGTTTCATGATCAACAGACAGATAAAAGAGGATTGGCCGGTATGGTGTGATCAGATGTGACACGTAAAGTGTATTCTTAATCTAAATAAAACAAAATGGGAAACGCCATGCCATTCCAGTATCATAAATCGTCCGTCACAGCTCATCATCCGATTCGGTCTCATCATCAGCAGGCTTAGGCGTAGTCTTTTTGGTTGTAAATGGAAGAGCTCGTGGCGGTGGAGGCTTTTCGGCAGTCTTTGAAGGAGCCTTTTGTTGAGAGGCGGCTATGGACGCAGAACCACAGACTTGCTGGGATGGTTTCAAGTGAGCACCAGAACTAGCATCGGCATCACCCTCGTCGTCATCGCTATCGACAGATGCAGTTGCCTCCGTTGTGTTCCCAGGATCTGTGTCCTCAGGCTCCTTTTTGATATCGATATCCATGGTATCAACATCAACATCGTCCTCTGACTCTTCCACTCGCCTTGTCGCAGGCGCCTTTCTCTTTGCAGGCCTGGATTTGGCGGCCTGTCGAGTTTGCTTCTTTGCCTTTGCCTTTGGCTGCTTGACTTCAACTTCAACAGCCTGTGAAAGTTGCGATTGACTTGCCATGCTGGATTTTGTTGCTAGCGCCGCTAATGCCTGTTGTTGTTCCCTAATCCTTATTTTCTTCTCGTTTAGCAGGTCCCTGAACCTCCTCAGCAATATGGTCTCATCTTCGCACTTTGCTTTGATTAGGTCTTCTAATTGAGACTGAAGCTGGGTTACAGCGGTCTCTGCTTCAGACGATCTGACTGCCAGGTCGGCTGCAGCTTTCTTACTGCCCGCGGAGGACTCAACAGCTGCACCGCACCACTCGAATAGTTCGATGGCTTCATCTGGATCATGGCTCAAAGTGATTGCACCAAGGCGTTGCTACGGCGGTTAGTCACAAGGCCGGACTCTCAAATGGCACCAATCTTACCGTGATACCCTGGACCTCTTTACGAAGGGTGATTGATACGGACTTTTCGCTTTGCACCGTGGCTGTAGCCTGGATATCCGGAAGGGGTTCCTGCTGAAACAATCTCTCGAGAATCTTTTGCCATTCGCTCTCTGATACGGGACAGTTGTTGACACACAGAGACATGACCTTATCATGTTTCACTAGATTCAAAGTCAGATTCAGGGATCGATGAATTGCCGTTTGCATCGATACTGAGAATTTGTAGACTATGGGCCCAAATTGCGGTGCAGTCTAGGGAATGGAATGACTTACATGAAGCAACATATGGCTCCTCCCCTTCGGTGCCCACTAATTTGAGGTCGAGCGGGTTGGAACCTTTTTGGGTTATTTGTACAAGCACGAAGGCAGCCTCATCATCGCTGCGAGGGAACCTCAGGACGTGCATCGGAGAGGGCACTGATAACGGTACAGATACAATCAGAGGTTTGTAGAGTCTGTTTGTATGTGTTAGTTCCAACACCAAGGGCTTAGATTCAATACCGGTGGAATGGTGGCAGATACCAAAGCTGTGGGAGTGATTCAGAGTAGATCGACACAACTCCCTTGTGGGAATAGCGAGATAGCGGGTGAGACACGGTACACGGGCCGAAGATATCAACGCTTGAGAGTTGGCTTGTTTGAGGAATGAAGACTGTGTTAAGGGCTAGATTAAGCGTGCCTGGATTCGAGTTGTTGACGATGGTGATTGTGATGACGATCAGTTGGTGCTTGGACCATTTATTTGTTTAAGTTGTTTGAATGATCCGCAGAAGCTCGGGCGGGCAGTCCAGGGTTTTTGGTTTTTAGCGAGGAGCTTGTGTAAAACGTGGGTCACAGGAAAAAGAGGAAGGAAAAAGAGAAGGAGACAAGTCGAAGAACAAAATGTCTTTGTTTGCAGTTATTTAATAAAATGAGGTCTGACTGCAGGCAGCCATAAGAGAGATGTGCATTGCATAAAGAAGCGGGAGAGCTGCAGGCTGCAGCCAGTCTCGAGGCCAAGGCTCCTCTCTTTTCCAGGCACCTGCCGCTAAATGGAATAGGGGACTTTTAAGTTGACATGTATTGACAGCATACCATTGAAAATCTCAGCTAAAGACATGAGCAAATTGTGATTAGCTTAAGTTCGAGAGTGTAACTGAACAATTTGTTATAATCCATAGATCATTCCAGGTCAATACTTCTGAAGCCCCCAAAGGAGTTTATTATATTCCATCCAGTTGGATGACACCCTTTTCTACTAGTTTAGTGAAGTGGCCTCCATCTGGAGACCCATCTGCTGTGACTGGGTCTTAGACGCGAGTGAGATCGTTCCTGAATTTGGCCTGTGCAGTTGCATACATACGTATAAAGTCATTCCGCACAGGGACAGATGTTTTCCCCTGAGACATTCTTGGAGGGGAATTTATCTACGTGATACAGACCAGGGGAAGTGTAAAAGAGATCAACACAAATCAACAACAACAATAACATCATCATGGTCAGGTAAGGTCAGGTTTGGTTTGTTGCACCGGTATAGATAGACCCCGGCCAGTTTTTAGCTTCGTGAGATCATCAAAGATCGTCCAGGTACGCCAGGCACAAAACTACCAAAGCATCATAAAGCTTGGAAACATGGAAGCTGACACAAACTCAAGTGACTAAGAAAAGCTCTTTACTCTAGACTAGAGGTTAGTAGGTTTGTCTACCACACGTCGCGACTATGACGCGTGAAGGTTCTGAACCAATCGGGCGACTCCCCTGACTGCAAACGGTTCAATTGTTAACTTACTTGTTTAGAGGTTGCAACAACAAGCCATCCAGTCACGTGTGGTATACTTTAGGCTGGTACCTATTCGGACTCAATTCTTGAACCAACACCCAAATATTCTTCCAAAAATCCTGGAGATATCCCATTTCAGGTGTAGTGTCAGCAATCCTTCTCTTGTAGTGTTTAAATAGCGCAGAGACCAAGCCTTAGCACTTGCCCTGTGGGGAGTTGTCCATAGCGATCGCAGTGCCCAGCAACAGATGGTCACAGTGGGCACGTCCCTTAGTAGTTAGCGGGGACCACCTCCAGCCACGCTTACAGTAACCCCCCAGCCATTTTCTTTTAGCAGCCCACCAAACAAACCAGTTCAGTCCTCCATTCCTGACCTTTGCATCCTGTTTCGCACGTCACCCTCGCGGCCATCGAGAAAAATCCTTTTTCCTACAACTCCAACATCAAAAACCGTATACCCTCCTCTAACGAATTTCTCCCTGACGATCTTACTTTGCTTTGCTTTTCTTCTTCTTTTTTGTCCGCCCGCAAATCCGTCTGTCTCCACACGGCGACGTTACAACGTACCTACCCGACTACACACTACCTATTTTCTTTGTTCCTCCGACTACCACCACAGACCTCGCTGCAGTGTCGCTTGTCCGCCAGCACATCCAAGGCCCATCGACCATACGCACAAAGCCACCAACCAGCTGTCAGAGCACCTGCAGGATCCACGATAACTCTCTTTATTTGACGACTCTTGTTTTGGATTTATTTTGACGTTACTGTTATTTTAAAAACGCATCATCCACGCCGTCCGACGCTTGGAGGATATGCTTTTGTATGCGGGGAACAATTGCCTTTGACAAGAATGACTGTACGCAATTGACTTCGCGTCCCCCAACAGTCAGGCTGAATAACGCTTTTTGCCGAACCTTGGCCTTAACCGATAATTGTGAATTAAACTAAACAAACAATATAACCGCCATCATGGAACCATTACGACTTAAACCCCGACAACCTGTGGAGGCCGACATAGAAGATTGGGATGACGATGACTTTGTTGTGGAAGGCGACGACTTGTCCTTTCGCAGTCCATCCACAGCAACAAACATCCCATCACGTCCATCATCTTCGAGACGCCGCGATTCTGGCTCTTCGCACTTCTCATTCCGATCTGAGGCTGAGGGGGAGGAAGAGAAGCATGTTCATATTCCAGGCGACGACGAGAAGTCGACTCTTGACGCTATCGCTGCTGCACAAAATGCTGGCATTCCCTTACCAACCAATGTTCCATCCTCTGCCCTTATGGGCGGTACGATCAAGCGCCTTGGTGGACGAAAGATCCGAAAGGTCATTCACGATGATTGGGAGAACGACTTAGAGATCCCCGAATCCTCTCAAGGCCTCAAAATAAAGAGGCCAGAACAACCCAAATCCCCCGAAACCTCGCGACATGTCAGTTTTGGATCAACTTCTACTCACACTAGTCCTATCAATTGGGGCAATTCGCCTCCCACTTCACCTTTTGACAAGGATATTCGAAGAGAATCTGGCCAATCCATTCAGTCTTTTCAGAGCATGCAGTCTATTCAATCTGCTACAAGCAATCTTTCGGCAGCTATCAATTTGGATAGATTCAAGGACGGTGACGATGACGATGATTTCTTTGACGGTGGTGACACTATCAGAGCCTCCAAGAGTCATCAACTTCCGAAGCCTATTTCATTCATCACACCTCCTACTCCTCAGAGGGATGCCAAGCCCGCCAATGTCGCCAGTACTGATGATGATTTTGAGGCGGATCTTGAGCTTCCGTCAGATGGAAAACTGAAGCTCTCCATGAGAAAGGAGATCCCAAAGACACCTGCTAACCAGTCGGATGATCTGGATTGGGGAGAAGGGAGCCTGGGCACTCGATGGGGCGGAACTCGGCGAGACACACGTTCTGCTCGTAACTCTGCTGCTTCTGCGCTCAGCCCAAGTATTTCGAGTTCGATCACTGCTGAGAGCGAAGATGAGACGTTCGATGGATTGATCTTACCCGCTGGTCCTGTTAACTGGACCGAGAGGCTCCAGCAACGCCGAAAGAGTAAATCTCCTAACCGAATCTCCGAGGAACCCATCGTGCCCCCCAAGAAAGCTCCAGCTGAAGCTGATAAACCTGACTTTCTTGATGGGCTTGATATTGGCGAAGGAGATGTTTTTGACTCAAGCAAGCTCACTCTGCACAAGAATGTTAAAGTCAAGGAGACGCGACCGGCTAGCCCGGCCCGTCCTAAAACGGCACTGTCTCTCACGTTCACAAACAAACCAGTCAATTCAACTCGGATACCCCGCCTGAATCACCATGAGCGAACTCACTCAACATCGCTGGAGCCGGTCTCTGAGAGCGGTGGTCCTATTCTCCAGCGTGCCCGCCGCTCACATTCTAGAATGGGTCACTCGGCTCAGTCATCCATCGCCAGTATGCCAACCCCTACCACAACTTCACCATCTCGTGGGATGCCACCGCCACCACCACGCAGAAGGGAAGTTGGCACGCGAACCTCGACAAACTCGCTTCGCAATGAACCTACAACAACTAGCGCTCAGCTTCTTAAGCAGAAACGCTCGATGCCAGCGATTCGAGCGTCGAACACCCCAGCTAGACAGCCGGCGTACCGCCATGATAGGCCGCCATCAAGATCGGAAAGCAACCGACCGTCATCTGGAATACGACCAAAGACGCCCACCGAACGACAGCGACAAGGTTCAATGGATAGCCCCGCAACTGTCCGCAAGTCTCACCTTCCGTTTCTGCCAGTTGGTGCTTCTCAATCACAGTCGCAGCACGTTGCTACCAGGCGTAGTGGATTCCGTCGTCATGACTCTGACACTTCCATCGGCTCTATTGATTTGCGTCCCGGTTCTCGCACAATTTCGCGATCCACAATGCGATCGCCTAGTCCCAACCATCGTCACCGTGCGACTGCTGACACATGGGAGCGTTTGAGCAAGCCAAAGAACAAGAAGAACTTTGGCGATGGTCACGAGTTGGACGGGTTTGATGATCTGCCAACGTCCAGAGAAACGGAAACGAGGTACCTGAAACAGCCTACCAGCTCAGGACCGAAGGTTGCCATGCGCAACAAACTCTACCAGAACGTTCTTCCAGACAGGAACTTGGTGAACTCCCCATCGGTCCCTGCCCCTCGACCTTCCTTTACTCCTCATTTTGCTCGTGACACCGCTGCAAGTAGAATTGCACGAGAGACTGCACTGGCGCAACGAGTCCCTAGCAATGGTCCGTTGACACCTTTGAACTCTCAGCGGACCACTCAACTTTCGTCGAGGAGTAATTTGACTCCCACCATTCCCCACCACTCAAACATTCGATCAAGGAAGCACAAGCGACCTCAGCAGACAAAGCCACATTTAATTTCGAACCTGAACAGTGGCAAAGAATCAAAGAGTAAGTTTATCGAGAATGAGATCATAAGTACCCTCACTAACTAGGGTTTAGTGGTCAACGGAATGTTTTACAACGCAGACACATATAGATGGGAGGGCAACGAGAATGCCCTCAACGTGTTTGAACCGCCAGTACAGACACCTACTCAAGTCGTCGCCTCAACCACCACGCGCGAGAAGGATTCATCGACACCTCGCCCAGCATTGATCACGAACATCAGCGCTACCAAGGGTGTCCAGGTCGTCGGTGGCATGGTGTTTGATCCTCAAAACATGTGTTGGCTCAAACTGGACAACCCAGCTAAACCATCCTCCGAGACTAGCGATACCATGGATGGTTTCGATGCGCTCGACGATGAGGATGTTTTCAAAGATATTCCAGATTTGGAAGATAACACTGCTGATGAGGAGGGCGCCCAAGGTCGTGGTAGCGACATTAAAGACGAATGGCTTGTCGGCGAAGAGTTCGACGTTGGTCCCGAGTTCATCAGACGACAACGAGAAGAAGAGGACCGGTGGAGAAGAAAGTGCGAGAAATGGATCGGCCGAGGATCCAGAGATCGCGAAACTTGGCGGTGGACGATACGCGAGCTTGTCTCACAGTTCGACGATTTGGCGATGTGAGAGTTTCGAGCCTGATGGCTCCTATCATTCTTCGGCATCATTGTTTAAACAACGACTTGTAATGCCAACGCTCACTATACCAGGTGGCTGTGGATACACAATATGGCGGAGCACCTATATCACGCCATGTAAGGAACGAGCAATCGGTTATCACGAAAGTATTATGACTGGATACCCCCAGGTGGTTTTTTTTCTTTCTTTTTTTCATGCGTTATGACAAAGGTAATGGATTTTCTGCAGGTTATTATGTTGCTTTTACTGCCAGCACCAAAGGGATGGATAATGATGATGACCATGTATCATATGGCAATGATGGATTGGACTGGCCTTGGGTTTTGACGAACGATAGAAAAAAATTGATGGGAAGCAGCAGAACCTCACCTTACGGAAGAGGTACTGGACTATTTATGACGAAACGAACTTGACGACTTACTTACTTTAACCGATACGTTCTCTTTTAGATTTCTTTTGTAACCTAGTCAGCTCTTATAGCACAACAATCAAACTTTCCTTAAACCATTCTTTATTCGATGTGATGCTACACTTTATGACCAAAGCTCAGTAAAACAATCTATTTGATCAATACGTAGTCTATATCAAGGCTGACTGTCAAGATACTCAGTAACTTCCATCAAGTTATAAATCACATTTCATAAAAAGCTGATACTAAGATATGATTCCATCTGGTAACTTTAAAAACATCACTTGTTTATTATCTAGCGTATAAGATGAAAGAACTTCTACATGACCAACACAAAAAGTCGTCAAACCCATAACCATTTTTAGAACAACAAACTCCTGCCAACGGTAGAGAAGCTGGTATCTACTTTTTGCTCTCCTTCTCCTTCTTCGCCTTGGCCTTTTTGCTGTTGCTGTTGGGATCCAGACCTCTTCGGCGCATGGCGTTCCTTCGTCCCTTCTCCATGTACTCCTTATCCTCATCGTCATCCCAGCCACCAAAGTCGGCATTCCTCTTCTTTGCGGACTCCTCATCATCGTCTGTGCTAATGGGGGTCTTGTCGATAACCTCGACCTCGTCGGCAGGACCGGTGGTGCGGTCGCGAGCATTAGAGGCGCTGGCAGGTGTGGGACCGATCTTCTGGAACTTGGCAACGTAGAAACCATCGACGTTGAGGGAGTGAGGGTAGAATCGTCTTGTCAGAGACACAGAGGGATCGAACTTCTTGCCCATGTAGCTAGTGAAACCCTCCTTTCCAAAGGTAAGGCCGGCATCGACGAGGCGAACGTTGGGACGGCGGGAGAGAGCGTAGTTGACAACCTGCTCGTTCTCCTCTACGGTGACGGAACAAGTAGAGTAGACGATGTAACCGCCTGTCTTGGAAGCGTGGTTGACAGAGTCAATGGCGGCGAGAAGAAGCTGCTTCTGAAGGTGAGGAAGTTGCATAAAGTCGAGCTCAGTCTTGTTGGTCTTGACGCTAGGATCCTTGGCAATAACTCCAGTTCCTGAGCAGGGAGCATCGAGAAGGACACGGTCGAAACCACCCATAGGCTTAGGGAACTCTCGGGCATCGTAGTTGGAAACGATGACGTTACGGCAACCCAAACGGTGGATGTTACCGATAAGACCCTTGGCACGAGCCTTGTTAGGATCGTTGGCGACAACGATACCGGTGTTCTTCATCATGGCAGACATGTATGTGGTCTTTCCACCGGGAGCAGAGGCCATATCAAGCACGCGCTCGTTCTCCTGGGGATCAAGAGCCATACAGGGAAGGAAAGAGGAGGCAGCCTGGAGAATGTAGTGACCAGCAAGGTACTCAGGAGTAGCACCCAGAGGGACGCTGCTCTCGAAGACCTGAAGTCCCACCTTGGACCATTTTCCAACTGGTTCAAGCGTGACACCACGGTTGATAAGAGCCTGAGCAAGATCACGACGGTGAGTGCGTAGGGTGTTTGTGCGGATGACGACGGGACGGGCCGACTCGTTGGCCTCGAAGAAAGCGAAAGCCTCGCGGGGTGTGAAGAGGTTGAAGAGCTTCTCGGCCAGGTATGCGGAGTAACCGTAGTAAGAGCAGATGTCTTTGAGAAGTTGTGATACATACTCGGCTCTTGAGCGACCCTCCTCGGAGAGCTTAGCAAAGTCGTCAAGGACGCGGATGTTCTCGGTGATTCGTGTTCGCAGGAGCTGCAGATCGGGCGCCAGAAGGGCTTGTGTCTTGGTAGCGAGCTCGTCGTCGCTATCCTCGTCGGAGAAAATGTGAGGCTTGTCGCCGTCGATGTTTGTCTGAAGAGCCTGCTCAGCCATCTCAGCCTCCGCCTCGGCGGCTTCCTCTGCCCTTTGGGCATCTAATTTCCTTGAAAGACCCTCAATGTTGGCGGCTGTGAGCTTCTCCTCGGCGTCTGACTCGTCCTCATCTTCGGAGAACATAGCCTTTGTGCCCTTGCCTCCAGCATCTTCGTCAGAGTCGAATACAGATTCGTCGTTGTCAGAGTCGAGGAAATCGTCCTTGAGTCCAGCGCCGCCGAGGTCTGATGAGCCATCCTCCAAGTCGTCGAGGTCAAACTCATCATCCATCTCTTCATCATCGGAAAGGTCTTCCAGCGCCGGCACTGGGGCCTTCTTGTTCTTATTTGCTTTGCCATTGGCCTTGGGCGCAGCAACAGGAACAGGCGCCGCCGCAGCCTTTACAGGCTTTGTAACCTTTGTCTTCTTAACATCCTTCTTGGCGACGCCGTTCTTCTTGGACTCGACGACCTTCTCCTTGGTGACAGTCTTTCGCTTCTTCCGCTCGGGGGTCTCAACGACGGGATCAGCAGGGAGACCGGCCTTGCGCTTGAGCTTTGCGAAATGCTCTTCGCTTAAAGGCTGAGGCGGCCCTTGTTTTCTCATACGACGACCGACACCCATTTTGAAAGATTGTGTCGAATTGGAAAAAAGTTGGTAAAGAATTGGTTCGACCAAGATGCAAAACAGATCTGGTCTTGTTTCTTGGGCCTAGGAAAAGTTACAATAGATCGCGCCCCGCCGAAACTTTTTTTCTGCGCGCGCTGATAGCAAGGGTCCGATAAGCGGTAGAATTTCGTATCGTTTGATGGTATATCGCAGATCCTTAGTCAGCATCTGTCGATTGCTGCGGCGTGGAGCTTGCTTTGTAGAGGTGGTGTTCAATGACGATACTCGAAGCTGTCCACTACTAAAACAATCCTATTAATGCGAGTTTCGGTGCAGATAACTTTATTATATCTTGTCGATATATTAAAGCGACATTGATAGAGTCCTACGCCTAACACACTCTACACTCAAGCCGCATCCTTTCTACTCAACCTAAATTAACCCCGCCTTCATCGAGCTTACAGCCGGTTCCAACGACGAAGCTATCACCATGTCTGAAACCGCTTTCGCCCAGACATTTCTCTCATCGCTCGAGTCGCGACCTATTCGACTATCAGCCGATCATGTCGAAGACCCTAAATCCTTCCCAGCTCGGCCACCCGTACGGTTTTCGCCTTCACTTCCAGAGTCCATCTTCTAATATCACTTTTAGTATATCATCCCTCGCATGCCAAAGGCCATGAGCAAGCCTAACAACCTCGCCCCTGGTTCCGAACGAAGCATCACTGTCTCACTCAAGTCTCTTCGCAACCCTCCCCTGAGCATCAAGCTTACCTCTCAACCCCTCGATACCTCGATCCTGGACATCAAGAACAACATTCAGAAGGAGACGAGGATACCCGTCGCCAAGACGAAGCTTCTGCACAACAAGAAGCCTATTCCCGACAGTAAGATCCTTAAGGAGATTTTGGGTGAGACGGATATGTCTGTCGAGTTTACGGTCATGGTCATTGGCGGGGCTGCTGCCATCCCACCTGAGGAGCCTGAGGTCGCCCCTGAGGCCCAACCTACAGGCGCCCATGCGCTGCAGACGGACGCGTTCTGGAGCGACCTCAAGGGTTTCCTGATGCAGAGATTAAAGGATGAGGCTGAAGCGGAGCGCCTTTCAGGTCTTTTCAAATCCAGTTGGCAGTCGAACCAGGCAAATCCATAGATATAGAAGGAAGGGCAGAATAACAAAGACACACGGTAAATAGATAATAAAATGCCAATGATTGCCATATACCAGCATGCGGTTTTATTTTCCCGGGGTACGTACGATACATGGCCAGGGCTGGCAATTATGCGAATTTACGTTTCGCCTCCTGAAGCAAACTCGTCGTTTACGTCCCCAGAAGAAACGAAAAACCCATGGTATCCTCGCGCCCGTTTCCATCCACTCACTATACACTCCTACTCATTTGATTGCTTGCTTATTTTGGCGTCTCAACTCTTGAAACGACCTAGGTATGTTCAAATCCCATCACCACCCGCTTCTATAAGGGAGCGCGGGGCGGCGATTGGGCGGTTTCGTGACAACGCGCTTAAGCAGCAAGACCCTTGCTGACGGTCTTGAGGATGGAGTCGTATTCGATGTCATCAGTGTCATTGGCCTGCAACTCGGTGGCAATGCCGGTGAGCGATCGCTTAAGGGCCTCCTTGGAGGAAGCGTAGATCATCTTGGGCTTTGTGGGGAGTTAGTCGACTTGTACTTGTGAGTTGGCCAAATAGTATGCGTCCACGTACCTGGATGCCAGCATCATCAGGGGACCAGGCAATGAAGGTGATCTTGTTTCTACCCGATTGTTAGTATTTTGGATTAAAGATCAGGCCATTCGCAGGTCGGTGCGAGGTTGCATACCGGATACCATCGCCAGAGGCCAGGTTGTACTCGAAGTCGTAAACGGCGTAACGGGGACCCTTGCCAACGGCACCCTACAGCAAAAGTGTTAGAATTGGCGATTCGGCCTTGTCCTCTCTTATTCGTTAAATTGGCATGCGTACAGTTCGGCTCTTGGCGGTAGCGTTGACGAGCGTCTCACGGAAGTCCTCCCAGTCGCGGCTCTCGGAGGCCTTCTCGACAACAATCTCCTTGTAGTCGTCAGAGAGCTTGTAGACGATGAACTTGTACTTCTTGTTAAGCTTCAAGTCGTTGAAAGCAGTAATGCATTCCTGAGAAACGGTGGCTCTATTTTGGGAAAACAAAGCATGGGTTAGCGCGGTTGTCTCAGAATTTGCTGCCAGGCTGCTGCGTGTTGCCCCGCGGCGGGCGTCATAATCATGATCGAGGGGTGAGGGGAGATGAGCAGCGAAGCGAGGTCTGACCGCGGGGGAGAAATGAATTTCTGCGGACGGGCGTGGCGGAAATAATTGAGGAGAGCAGCAAGAGTACGAACCCGGATTGAGACTGTGAGGTACTGTTAGATTCAGGGTCTTTTTTTGGTAGTTTTGGAGAGAAGCTTACCATGATTGCGGTCTACGTCAGGAGACGGGATGTTTAGGATGAGGGGTGGTCGGACTGGTGGGAGCTTAGAATTAGCTATCAAGAGCAACAGGGAGTGGGAAAAAGAGGGAATATTGGGTTTTATGTATGATGATGGAGATATTAAAAGGGTATTGACGTACCGAAGGTAGAGTGTGGATGGGAAAAGGAATAAACAGTCTCACGATGCGAAAGGACAAAGTCGTTTGGAAATGGGCGCTCAAGAGTAGGAGAGAGTGAGAAGTGGGTTGTATCTTAGTTTAGGCGGTAGAGAGAGAGAATTGTCCTGTCCCATAGAAAGGCGGGGCCGTTGCGGGAGAAACTTGAGTCGAGCAAGTCTGGCTGTTAGGTCGTCTCCTCTCCTTCTCCTTCTCCTCCTCCTCCTCTTGGTCCTCTCTTGGTCCTCCCACCTCGTTTCTTGGTGGGGGTTGCCTGTGAGGTAAATCATCCACGTGACTGGCCAAGTCAAGGCATTGGTCTATATCTACTAAGATACTAATCTATTTTTGTCAATAGATAGACGGACACTGACAAGTACAATGCTATTTCAAACAATATCTATTCTTATTGCCCATGTTTAGTGTCTACTTATCTACCTAAATTGTTGACTCAGACAAACAAAAAACCCTTGCTCGTAACTCGTCATCCTGTTCATGCAACGAACCCCTGCTCTGTATCTCGGCGTCGCGGAACCTGTTTTCAGCCCACATTAGGTACCTCCAGTAAACATTCAGTCTTGAAATAGATTAAATATAAACAATGAGCCCAATCTCATACAGATATCGGTTGGTAACAGCAAGTGAATCAATAGACTATGTAGGCACACAGTCACATTAAGCAGTCCGAGTAGATCTAATGTTGTACATTTTCCTCTCTTTTTGTATCTCATATCTTTTCATGCTAGTGCTACAATCAATACTATTATACATGGCTCTCAAAGTGTAGCCAGAAATTCCGTAAAGGGTATGAAGACGAATGCCGTGGTCCGACAACTGATAGAGAGGAGATGGGTTTGAAAGACCACCACACCCGTCCCGTCATAACACGCAAACCATTGTGCGCCGTTCATCCATCCAGCTTTTGCTTTTTGTTATACAACACAACGTAAAGTCATATCATTCCGTCTCTTACATCATACCTCCCATGCCACCCATGCCGCCCATGCCGCCCATACCGCCCATAGGAGGACCACCGGCACCCTTCTCCTCAGGAGCGTCGACGATAGCAACCTCGGTGGTACCGAGAAGAGAAGCGACACCGCTGGCGTCAATGAGACCGGTTCGGACGACCTTGAAGGGGTCAAGGATACCAGCGTTGATCATGTCAACGTATTCACCCTTGGAGCTGTCGAAACCCTTGTTGAAGTCACCAGCGTGCTCGTCAGTGAGCTTGCCGACAACGACGGAGCTCTCAAGACCGGCGTTCTCGATGATGGTTCGGGCGGGACGGGTGATGGCGCTCTTGACGATGCTGACACCGAGCTGCTGGTCAAAGTTGGAAGTGGGGACCTCGTTAAGGGCGTGGGCAGAGGCCTTGATGAGGGCAGTACCACCACCGGGCAGGATACCCTCCTCGACAGCAGCGCGGGTGGCGTTCAAAGCATCGACGAATCGATCCTTCTTCTCACCAACCTCGACCTCGGAAGAACCACCGACCTTGATGACGGCAACACCGCCAGAAAGCTTAGCAAGACGCTCCTGGAGCTTCTCCTTTTCGTACTCGGAGGTGGTGGGGTCGGCAATGACACCACGGATCTGCTCACATCGCTGAGCAATGGCGTCCTTGCTGCCGCCACCGTTCAGGACAATGGTGTCCTCCTTGGTGATGGTAATGGAGCCAGTGGATCCGAGCATGTCGGGGGTGGCCTTGTCAAGCTTGATATCAAGCTCATCGGTGAAGACGGTACCGTCGGTGAGGATGGCGAGATCGCCGAGAATGGACTTGCGGTTGTCACCGAAGCCAGGAGCCTTGACAGCAGCAACCTGGAGCTGACCACGGAGCTTGTTCAGAATGCAGACAGCGAGAGCCTCACCCTCAATGTCCTCAGCAATGATGACCAGAGGTCGGCGTTGCTGGGTGGAGACCTCGAGAGCAGGGATGATGTCCTGGACAGCAGAGATCTTCTTCTCAGAGAGGAGGATGAGAGGGTTCTCAAACTCGACCTTCTGGGACTTGGTGTCGGTGATGAAGTAGGGGGAGACGAATCCACGGTCGAATCGCATACCCTCGGTGACCTCCAGCTCATCGGCAACAGTCTTGCCCTCCTTGCAGGTGATGACACCCTCCTTGCCAACCTTCTCCATGGCGTTGGCGATCATCTGACCAATGTGGACGTCGCCGTTGGCAGAGATGGTAGCGACCTGAGCGATCTCAGCGCTGGTGGTGATGTCTCGCTTGTTCTTCTGGAGGAAGGAGACGACGGCCTCAACAGCAGCCTGGATACCGCGGCGTAGGTCCATGGGGTTGCAGCCGGCCGCAACGTTCTTGACGGTCTCGGAGAAGATGGCACGGGCGAGAACGGTAGCAGTGGTGGTACCGTCACCGGCGACCTCGTTGGTCTTGGAGGCAACATCCTGAAGGAGCTTGGCGCCGAGGTTCTCGAACTTGTCCTTGAGGCTCACAGCGCGGGCAACAGTAACACCATCTATAATGAGTTAGTTTGATTTTTGTCAACTGATCTTTTAGGTTATACGAACCCTTGGTGATCTTGGGAGAGCCAAAGCTGGACTCAATGAGAACATTTCGGCCCTTGGGACCGAGTGTGGTAGCAACGGCCTTGGCGAGGGTGTCGACACCAGCGAGGAGAGCGGCACGGCCCTCAACACCGAATTTGAGCTCCTAAATAAGTTGTTAGTAGTCAATTCGACTGCCATGACGTCCGAGTTCCATCATACCTTGTGAGCAAATCGGACCTGCTGGCTGAGGCTGCCAGCTCGGTACTTGGTGGCTGCCGAGGACAGTGCAGAGGCTCGGGCCCGAGTGTTCAATGCGCGCTGCATGATTGTGGAATTATGGGGTATATGGTAGAACTACAAGAAAAGGAGAAAAGAGAAACGCTCGTGAGGAATTCGACCTTGGGGGAGAGGACGGACGAGGAAAAGAGGTTGGGAGAGATGAGGGAGACAAAAGGTTGAGTTCATATGATGGCGAGCGACTGAGAAGCTCCCAAAAAAATGGAATCGTCCCCATCGCTCGGAGTGTCGGATTCGGTGAAACCCAGAAGCGACACTAAACCGAATACGTACAAACCCCACTGGCCATTGACTTCTACACCTTTCCAACGACATCTGTGAAGCTCGCTGCTAAACGCCCTGGAAGGTTTGGAAACGGGGCAGTTGAAGGCCTGGAACTCATATTACCGGAGCCATAGCCGAGGACAGCACTGAAAGCAGCCCAAAGGGCGTCTCTGACTGGATGGATACTGACGGGTCACGGTCGGCTTTCAATGTCCTCTCTCCATCTCCATCTCCACGAGCAAAAAAGAAAAAGACTAGACTCCACTGCCAATGTTGCATGACAAATGAATCGTCTGGGGTTCGCCGATTTTCCATGGGGCTCAACCGTGTAAGTTGTCTGGCCAGCATCCAGGTTGACATGCTGCAAGAGGTCTGGCCCTTGATGTTTCCGTATCCCATCTAAGGCTACCATATAAACCCTGGAGTTATGTTTGGTCATGTTCGTCATTACAAAGGTCATTTATACGTTGAGAGTGTATGCTGGGATGTTGAGACGATGAAAATCCGATTATCTAAAACCCAAAGCATCATGGTTGGCAGAGGGTGACAATCAAGAGCAGATCAAAGCAAAAGTGTTTGCGATCAGCATGGATATCACGATGAAAAATTGTGTTAAAGTTTTCGAAATGTTATAAAGAATCAAATATCACTAAGTACAAGCAATAGCACGAACCAACTCCAATCCTGTATCGTTACAGCCAACTCGAAGGCCATGACAAGCATATAATGGTGTCACTGTGTACATCAAGTTGATCAAATCTGTGCCGGGTGGCACTTCATCTGTATGATGAATCCTAATACTCCGTTCCATCCCCCATCTAGTTGCGCGCGATGCGGCGGCGCTTGAACTTGCTGACCATGCGGTAAAGCGAGGATCGCTCACTTCGCTCAGTAACCTCGACATCGGCGGTAGCCTTCTTCTTCTCAGGCTTCTTGAAAGCAGCAGCCCAAGCCTGGGTGTCTACGGTCGTGTCGCTTGAAGACACACTCTCGCTCGCAGACATGTCATGGCGCACTCCTTGCTGCCAGATATCAACAGCGGACTCAAGAGCCTGGCGAGCGTGTAGTCGAGCGGTCTCCTCAATGCTTTCCGCGACTGCCTTCTTAATGACATGAGGGAGCTCGTACGACAAGTTACTAACAAGCTGTTCAGCGCTCGCGAGGTTCTGGGCAGTCGCGTAGTTGTTGTAGGCCTGAGGCTCAAGAAGTTCTTGCATGCGAGCAATGTGGGCATGCTGGAGATCGAGCTGCTCTCGCACAGCTTGGTTCTGTTTCTCAAGAGCGTCGTTTTGCTTCTTGAAGAAACGACTTTCCTTGCGAAGGGAGAAGGATTGGTTCTGGAGAAGTTCGTACTGCTGCTGAAGAGCGTGGTCTTGCTGTTGGACAATACCAGCCTGATACCGTGTGAGGCTGTTCTGTTGTTGAAGAGCATGATCTTGTCGTTGGATAAAGTTACTCTGGTGTTGGAGCATGCCAGCATGATTCTGGGCAATGGCAGCGTGGCGCTTAGCCAGTTCTTCCTGTTTCTGAGCGAGAAGATGTTGGCGTTGAAGAGCATGGTCGTGGACCTCGATGAAATGGCTCTGCTTCTGGAGAAGACCAGTGTGCTGTTCGACATTGACAGAGAATCGGCTAACATTCATGCGAAGAGGTCCAGTAGCATCAGCAATGCCCTGTTCAATAGTATGCTCGACCATGGAGCACATGTCATCGTCGACATTGATGAATCCATGCTCATTGGAACGACGAACCATAGCGTTGGTAGAATGATAGTAGCGTTGCTCATGCTCAACAGCCTGAAGGTAGTGATTGACCCTACGAACAGCTTCTTGCTGGCTATCACGGTGCTGAGAGGCAGCACGCTGTTGAATACCCAAGGCAATTTGCTCTCGGAGGTGAACGTACGAAGGGGGGGTAGGTTTCAGGATATCGCCGCGGACACGTCGAAGGTAGACAAGCGAGCTGAAGTCCTTGGCAATAGCGTGAGCATCGAGAGTGGTCTCCAAAGTGACGGGAAATTCGCCGTTGTGGCGAGCTTCGGCAAGCGCCAGATACATGGCATGGATCTCCTGGTTGTCATAGGCTTCGCCATTGTGGACAGTGGCCTTTGCGTCGGGATTCCAAGGAAAGTTGCTCTGATGAGGAGTCTCAGGACGCAGGAGAAAAGCCTCAATGGGTGACTCTGGAGGAGAATTGTTCCCAACAGGAGTGTTGCTCTCGAGAGAAGGCTCATACTCAGAGGTAGTGCAGTCCTCAATGTTCTGATCCTTGTGGGTAACGGCAAGCTTCTCGAGGCGAGCAACGACGGGAGACACGGTGTCGTAGTCAAGCGTGATAGTGCCACGCTCAGAATCGCTGTCCTCGAAGGTGATCTCGAGAGGAGTGCGAGGAGGAGTTGAATCCCACATAGTGAATACTCGTTGAATAGAAATTAATCTCGATAATAGTAGCAGAATCAATTTCTTCGACACGAGTACAGAGATGAGTGCGCCTTGGAAGTGTTAGCTTGAGGTCAGAGAATATGTGGACGATGCAATGAACACTCACGAGAAGCAGATTCAACTCGAAGCTTTTCAGAAATATTCCCGAAGATAGTAAAATTATCTTTGGCAATGAATTCCAGCGTATGTAAGATAAAAGAGGATAAAGGTGAAGCTCAATGCTAGTGATAGAGAAAGCCAAATATGAGCATGGGTGAAGAAGAGACGAGAAGAGCTCAGGATCCAAGAACAGGAGAACTGAGGGCATGCGGAGTCAAACGCAACTTTAGAAACCCCTCAATTGGGTTGATTTACAAAATCTATTGTTCAATTCATGTTTGAGCACGACAATATAACTTGCATGCAGGCTGTGGGGCTTCGATGGCCGCACTTAAACTGGTATTGGCAGTGCCCGACAGCTAGCAGCTGGCGAACAAGTGCCAGCCAGCTCGTTTACATCGATCTCAGCGTTTTGGTAGAATTATGCGTTTGCAAGAGGGTGGTTTCTGCGCAATTAAGCGAGGGGAGTTCGTCCCGTCTTGTAGAAGTTGGTGCAGTCAAACATGCAATGTCAACACTCGTTCATGGGGAGTTTGAGATAAACAGTCACATTCTTCACAGCGAGATGACAAGATATGAGAATCATTCATGGCCTTTTACATTAGTAATGGCCCACAAACGTGACTAGGTACTTGGATGTCCTGAGATTCTCCTCAATCCGATTCACTGTTACCGCAACTCTGTGCATACGCTGTCATATCCCTATCAGATATCTAGTTTGCAATGAGATTGGTATATTCCGTAGCATTCATCCCGTCCAAAAACTCATCTCCGTGTGCGCCCTGGTTGAAGCGCTTAGGACTCATCAGAGGTGGGAGCGTCTATCGAGGAAAAGTCAGTAAATGATGCAGAAAAAGTGATCGAGGATCTCATACCAGAGAGAGAGTTGGTAGACTCAGCAGCAGCCTCGTCCGGTTCCTCCTTTGGCTCTTCCTCCTCCTTCTTGACCTTACGCTTGGTAGCGGAAGCCTTGGGCTTGGGCTTGGGCTCCTCGTCGTCATCAGACTCCTTCTTGGCCTTGGCTCGAGGAGTTCGGGGCTTTTTGGCACTGCCAGCGGTCTCACCCTTGGCCTTGCGCTTGCTGGGAGTAGTAGGAGTAGCAGGAGGGGTGTCGTTCTTTCCATCTCCGTTGTTGGCAATGGCGAGAGCACCAGGGCGAGAGATACCATGGGCCTTGAGCATGCGCTCGTATCGCTTCTGACTGTTGGGTCACAAGTCAGCATTTGCAGTGGTGAAGACAGAAGGGAGGTACTTACGCAGCGGCCTTGGTGACGATGTCCAGCTCATCGGCGACGGCCTGGAAGTCAGGCTGAACTTGTTAGTGTCGGAAGCGAGAGCACATTGGGTTGTATGAACTTACTCGGCCGTTGCTGGTATGTCCAATGCAGGACACGAGGAATTTGACCTGGTCGATGGGCTCTTGCTTAGACATGGTGACGGATGTTGGGTCTAGATAGAGTGAGCGACAAACACGATATGAAAGTGATATGATGATAGAAAATGGGATGAAGGATAAAAGATGTATCAGTGCATACAGTGTTTAATGTTGGTGTTGTGGTTGAGTGTGCTGATGATCAAGCGTAAACAGGAGGGTGGATGGTGGGAGGATGAAAGATTGGAGAGGAGACGAGGGGAATCCAAGTTGGTGCAAGTAAACAGATAATAAATTAATTTGTACGATGCAGTGTGACAAACGCTGGCGTTACCACGGACAAGGTAACAATTTACTGCTAGTGACTTGAAAGACGAGACGAAGAGGCAGCAACCAAACATAACACTCGACCACTTTTTCTCATACGTGACATCTAGGGACGCATGGAACGTAGCAATGCAATTCAGATCACCCCAGCGACTAGATTTCAAAAGCACTATTGAACATAACTCGCATGTGGGTGTCTCTGACGTGACAGTCGCTGCCAGCTGCCAGCTTTAATACTGGTGCGGAAATACCAAGAGGGCGCGATTGCCTATACACTCAGACCTTAGGGCGATCACCAATGACTGAGAAATCAACTAGAACATGTGCTCATCCTAAAGAGATGCTTCGGAGCTCACAGATAGTATTTCGTAAAACTGAGGTGCCCAAGACGGTCATTCAGGGGTAGGTCCGCCTGATGCCTTCACGGCAACACTCAGTAATATTTTCATATACTAAACAATGTGTTGCAGCGAAATATCTATATCGTAAACTTGAAGGCTTCTTCTCCTTGATGCATTGGTTTATAATAATCAGGTTGAGGAGTCTGAGGTGCCGCTCTATTATCAACTTGAAATCGATGTGCTCAACACTTGTAATCAATGTCAGATTCACTGCTTCGTGTATTTTCTCAAAGTCCCATTATCATTGTTTCTATCCTCGAGGATATTCAGCCAGATCTCTTGGATACTAGCTCTATTGGTGACGTTGTAGTGCAAATCATGGCACAATACATTTTCCATGGTACCATTCCCTCAATATCCCCATTGACGCATCACTTAATCCATATCCTCATCCGCGTCTTCGCACTTGACGTTCTTGCTCTCGGGCTTGACCTCATCTTTGACATCCTCACCGTCTTCATCATCATCTTCGGGCTCAGTCTTCTTGGCCACCTTCTTGGCGGTAGGCTTGCGGGGGGTGCGAGGTGCGCGAGACTTCTTAACCTTGTCTCCAGTCGCAGCAGCAGCGCCCTTACGAGGAGTGGAAGTAGCAGAGTCGCCGCGCCAGCCGTGACGGACCGACATCTGGCGGAAACGTTCCTTGGCGCATTTGGCGTCCTTGAGGCTAAGGGTCTCGGCGACGGCGTCCCAGTCGGCATCGGGCTTCTGGGTCATGTTGTCAAAGATGGCTTTGATGAATCGAAGCTCACCATCAGTGAGGCCAGTGGGTGAGCCATCCTCTCCGGAGCTCTTCTTGGCAGGCATAATGATTGATAAGCTGCGTTTGTGTCAGTGCTTAATAATGGGAGTAGATGTTTGAGAATAAAGGATATACTAACAGTGATGACTGCTTGCAAGATGTCGATAGTGTATGATTGTAAGTTCCCTTGAGAGTCGTGACTGTTTGCCGTGTGTTGGTGTGTGTTGGTGTGTGTTGGTTGTGGGTTGGCTACGAATTCGCAAAGATTTCAGGTTGTGAGGATGGAAAGGTTGGGTGGGAGGATGGGGAGAGGAGGGGTTTTATGGCTGGGACCAGCCAAGCCGAGTACCAGAGCTGGAGGGTGAATTTTTAGCTAGCCTGAGTTAACAATACAAAACAGAGGTCGAGGACCACTATTGTCGAGTATGGTCACAACAACAATAGCAAGCTTGCGGTGCCGGTCACTGGCGAGCAGCTGCATGCACAGGAAACAAGGGCAGAGAATAACTGTAATGCGAAACGCTCCAACCTGGCAGGATTTTTGGTACTCCCTCTGGATCGTATCTACCATTGAATTAAATAACCAACTTGGAGGGTGTTAAGATGATTATGTCCCCAGTAACCATTCGAGTCCAGGATCAAGCGGGACAACACTCCTCAACCACGAGTCACCTTTTACAGATTACATATAATAAATTACTTGATTCACATCAACGGTGACAAAATATGCTAATGTCTCTTTGGACTTTTCAATTTCGTGTCGGGGGGTTGTATGGTATCATGTCGCTACCTTAGTTGTCGCATCCTGAGATGATATACCATTTTCGTCCCATCAATCATTCCAGACTTTCCACAACTCTCGTAGATAGTAGTAAACAGCCCAGATCTTCATCTTTCTCAGTAAAATCTCGAGATTACTGAAAGAAAGGATACTCGATGGCGATATCCTCCAAGTTGCCGAGGTGGTGGTCCAGGTTCGGATCCTTCTCAGGAGTCTTCTCCGAGTCACTATCTTCATCCTTGACAGGAGGCTTGGGCATCTCCTCATCGTCGTCATCGAAAATGTCGAAAGACTCCTCTTCCTTCTTAACCTTGTTGTTTTTTCCCTTGCCCTTGACAGTGCTGCGAGGGGTGGTGGTCTTCGAGACGCGACCGCCAGCTGACTTGCGGGGAGTGGCAGGAGCACGAGGAGTAGAGGTGGTCTCAGTAGAGATACCCAGCTTGCGCTTGACCTGTCCGAAGCGGACCTAGAGATGTTTGCGTCAGTATGAGGTTGTGATGATAGATAGGGGTAGATGATGTAGGGCGACGTCATGGTAGGCATGGGAAGGATTAGGCTCACCTTGGCGACGTCGGCATTCTTGAATCCAGCCTCGGTAGCGACAGCGGTCCAGTCAACGTCGGCCTTGTTGCGGGTGTGCTTGACGATGCTGAAGAACAGCATAGCCTCAGCGGCAGTGGGTTCTCTCTTGTTATCGGCCATGGTAGCAATGTTCTATAAAGTGTCAGTTTGGAAGGTCGACCTTTCAGAAGGGAGGGCCAAGTATTATTACATTTGTCTTGTGAAGAGAAAGCTGTTATTTGTTTGTGATGCGGTTGTTGTGAGAGAAGAAAGAAAAGGAGGAGATGTTTGGTGCGGAGGGAAGAGAGCAAATATGCCAAATAGTGAAGGGGCTTAGGCCTAAATCTTAGGGAAGAAGTAAACCGTAACCACAGGGGAATTGTAAGAGCTTTGGTAACTGTAGAGCCAGTGTTTGATCAGAGGGGAATAATGAAGAAACCAGGCGATTCACTGAGCTGGTGCGCAGGCAGCCTTGTAATAGTGAGAGCCCGTTTGCAAAATTAAGTATGCTTACTGTAGTCCCTATAGGTGCGCTGTTGGTGATATTCTTTCCCTGCTTGACTCTCATTTTGAAGTGCTATGGCACTGCCAACTAATATTGCCTACATGCTGCACTACAGCAGACATGTAAGCCATGCAGATTATCTAGTCTCTCGAGAAATTCGTCTGGGTACAATCTTCAATAGAAAAGGTAGCATAGAGATATTTCTCATTTTAGATTGCATACAGAAGCGCTATCGTACAGCTTTCATAGCGACTTGTGAGTTCCAGCAAGGCGAATTCCAGTAACTGGCGTCCATTTTTCTTCAACGTCCACCTGTGTTCAACCAAGAAGGAAACGTTGATCCTAATAGACAGACTCAAATAGAAACCAGACATAAGTAATACCATGACAGCAAGGAGACAAGGGAAGTACCACACGAAAGAAAAAGTCATTGTCATTAAGTCATATAAAGAAAAAGCAATCTACCAGAACGCCAATTTTGTACATTAGCAATCGTCTTCCCACTAGCCTCTCTACTTCTATCCGTGTCATTTCATCCTTCTTTTTCCGAGCGGGTATCAAAAGGATTGGTCATTGAGGTCGTCCATCCATTCAGGGTTGCAATCTGCAAGGGACAGAGGACCGTTGAAATCAAGTGCGCCAGGGCTCTGAGCGTCACCGATGGCAGGCTTGTAGGAGGCCAAGTCGTATTGAGGGTCAAACGTATGGAGAAAGGGCGACTGTCCCACGACAATGGGATCCTGGGGAGGTTGTTGAACCATAAGGTTAGGAGCAGAGTCCATCAAAGGGCCAAACCCGTTGCGCATTCTCAAATCCTCGAGGGAGGTTGGGCTGAAACCAACGCTTTGTTGAGGCATGTCATCACTGAAAGGAGTGAGGAAACGATTGAAATCGTCTCGAGTGTCGGCTAGGTAAGGAGATGAGGTCGAGGCGGGAGAGAACTGCGCAAAATATTGGTTCTGTTCCTGCTTGATAAGAGGACTTTGATGAACTTGAGCATAAGACGCGAGGCTCGATGCAGAATTTGACTTGGCAAGGCTGCGGTTCTTAGGCTTTTGCTCCTTTTTCGACTTTGTTACTCGACTCTTGTCTTCAGCACGAGTCCTCTTTTGTGGCGCGTGGCCCTTGACAGTATCACGGAAGCGAGTGAATCGCATCCTTGCAGCGTGGCCATTTGTGATGGGCTCTAGGAGTAATGGGTCTGAGGCAACTGCATTCCAGTCGATCTGAGAAGAATGTTAGGGATATACTTGTGGGTGTACGCATGGTAGGGTAGATCAACTTACATCCTTGAGGTTCTTCTGATTCAACATGGCCAAGAGTAACCGAGCCATGGCGTTCTCGCTGTTGGGAGTCATTACGAATGGTGTATAGTATGAAAGAAAAAAATAATGGAAGTGAATAGAGAGTAAGAAGAAAAATAGTGGATTGTAGCGAGAACGATGCCGTAAATACAGGCAGAATGATCAATGTTAGATATAGGTACTAAGATTAAAACATGTGAAGCTTCCCTCTAGGCAGCTATCGATTTTGGCTGCCTTAGGTTTGGAAGGTGACGTCAAAAAACAAAACAAAAAAAAGTAAAGAAGTCGAGGATAAGGTTGAAAAGTTGCAGACTCTGAGTCACTGTCACAGTGGAACCTGACTCCGTGGACTCGACGAAATGGTTCTGCAAGGCTGAAGCTCAACCAAGGATATATCGAATGGATGAAAACGGCTAAAGTCGAATCGTTCAAGGGATCTTGCAGGAGTTGAGTATGCTCTTGAATCAACAAGATGGACGAGGCCTAAGGGGAACGGCCGAGAGCAGGCGTAGCGGGAGGAAACCCGTCTCTAAAAGGAGGGTCAACAGGGCCCAACGTGATCGATTTATATGTGCATGTGAAACGTTTATCTGGATGGTGGTTATAAATGAATATTGAGGAGAGATGAGGAAGAGATGGAAAAGGGAGGCACTAAGAAAGAAGAAGAGGAAGAGAAAGAGAAAGAGAGGGGGATATGTGCTATATGTACGAATCCGTCATGCAGTAGCTGTTTGCTAAGATTCAACCTAAAAGTGATGCCACACACACCTCTTTGCAGTACATCTACACCCATCCCGACTCCTTGTGGGGGAGAGTCCAACAGGCAGATACAGGGGGAGGATCCATCCCAGTCCAGGCACACATGGGTCCCCATCGCCCATTACTGCACTGCAGAGAGCCCTGAGAAAAATGACTGAGATGAGAGAATATCCATGGAAAATGGAGGTCAATGATGGCGACGATGCTCCATAGTTGCCTGGATTAAAATCTCGTCCTGTCGGATTCCAAGACGATCCTTCCCGTTGATGGAAAATGGGGCGCGACGAGGGGCTGCGGTCGGCGCGAACACCGCGTAAAGTGGTTGCTGACCCCCCGCTAAATCCACTAATTCAGAGTCTAAGACAGCGCCCTATGGCCCCCGAGACCCCCTGTCGCCGGAGCTAGGGGGCGCTGCAGCCATTACGCTTCAGCGGGTGCCGCAGTTCCAGATTCAATTAATGAATTGTTTCTAGAGTCAAGAAGAGATCAATCTATCAAGACAGACCAATCCTCTCGACGTTATTGATTTATTTAGGCTTCGTCGAGAATGATATATAGAGTTCAATATCGATCTAAACTCTCCATCTTTTCTCAAAGGGTAATGGACGGATCTCGTAAGCTTAAAATCAGCCAAGAACAATTCAATTAACCAAAGACAAAATTTCTAAATCAAAGCTTCCGACACATCAAGCTAAATCAGGCTCTGGACAGGGGTGGGAAGCCCAGGAATGGAGTGAAACCACAAAGTGTGACTCATTTCGCGGGTCACCGACGAATTATCAACGGCACTTGAGGTATACGACATGCAACAACGCAGGGGGAGAAAACTTGAAGCCAACCTGGTTGGGCAACTTGGCGATCCATGGCGACCATGATGGTTGTTTACATTGCCTCGTGGCATTTTACAGATGCATTTTCAATTGGTTGAATAGTTTGAATTGAGCTTAAACTTGATCATGGTGTGTGGAAAAGTTCACAGCGAAATAAGTATGAATAATAATTGAGACGAAACAAGAGGGACTGGACTGGATTTTGTTGGGATTCAGAAATGGCCACCTTACGCCCTGACACTCAAAGAATGAAAGAAATTGCAGCATGCAGCCGATCCGCCGAGGCTTGCTTGTTTTGCATTGCCCTTTTGGCTATCGACGCTCAGCTGAGGGGTGTAGCCTAGAAAAATGTTGATGGATGGAAGCCGAGACGACAAGGACGAAAAACAGCAATTCGACAACCACAACAGCTGAAGAAGTCTGGAAAATTCATATTTATACTATCATGAGAATAAGAATACATTTATTCTGTGATAAATTGCTTCTACGGTCGCGTACGGCCCTCTATTCAATTGTTGGCCGTTATGGAGGGCATGAGATGAAGTGGGTGGGAGACGCGACGGGCGCGCAGCTGGTGGGACCTTGCTCATCAGGAAATGGGAACGAAAGCACGTGAGAAAAGGCCCCACTTCATGTTCTTTTTTCTTGTCCCCTCTTTGTCTTCTCAGACCCCTTGCTTCGAAGTGTGGCGCAACTCGAGTCTTTTGCCACTCCACCAACTCCGTTCTCACTACCGTTTCGCTTACGTAGCTACACCTTCTAGACCGTTTCGAGAGAAGTTAGCTTCCTAACTGCATAACTCGGCTTGCAATGCACATCTCGTGAGCATTGTTTGTGTATTGTGATGATTGTTGCATTCAATAAAGCTGTGTGTCATCAGATCAAGATTTGCATTCAACTTAACAACTTTTCTAATAGTCTCTCCAACGTCTTTGAGCATGGAACTGAACCTAAATAAAACCTCCCATACTGCTTATCATTCAACGGCTTTTCCATGATCATGATCACCTTCCCGATTAATCGTCATCAAACAAAAACAAAGCAACCGAGCAGAAGAAAAAGCAAAGACTCGAGGAAAAAACAATCATAATTGATATCCTGCCCAATTACATCTAGATCTGTATAGGTAACGATAAGCTCTACTTGGCACCTGCTGGGCATCGGAGCTATCATTCATCCGGATCCGACACCTACGTAGTGCCTTCCCTGCTTCCCCATGCCAAGAAGGTCAAGAGGGATGGGGAGCTTGGACCAATCTGTTCGGTTCAGAGACGCTACCTTCACTGTTATTACCTTGCCTTAACAATTTCTCACCCAACTACACTACACTATCAATTTTCCCATTGATCCAGCCATTGCATTAACAGCTTCTAACGATCTAAAGTCGCGTCACCGCCTCAATACCCATCAATTCTTGTCAATTCGACGTTACCAGTAACTGTTCTTGTCCAGTATGAATAGTAAAAACTGGAATGACAGGGCAGACAAAGACTTGTTCTTTACTATTCTCTCTGTTAAAAACATTGGCGTCATAAGCGGCTCGGAATGGACCACTATTGGTAACCATATGAGAAGCCTGGGCTACGGCTTCACCAATGAAGGCTGTCGGTAAGTCCTTTATGCTTTTGTTATCATATACTTGCTACTTCGTCAATTACAATTCTATCCTGCTCGGTTAAACCACAAACTGCTTATCACGTCTTAACAATTGGTGTCGGCACATCATTCTACGCGTCAAAGTTGACTTATACCCGCCCACCCGTTCTTATATCACACACATATATAATCTATTCATAACCTCAACATATACAACATTTTCCAAATGATGAACTAATCTCACATAATACAATACTTTTCAAACTTCTACCCAACGCAAAACTAACATCATGTCAGCCAACACTTTCAAGGTCTACGTCGGGCTCAACACAAGACGGAGACCACTGGCCCTAATGGAGACACAGTACGGCGAAATGACCCAACTATGAATCCCATCACACGTCGCCCTGGGCCTGGAAGGGGTCGGCCAAGAAAGCAACCACTCGCTCCAGTACCCGGAGCTCCAGGAGAGGGTACTCCCCATCCACCTCTAGCACTTGGTATCGTCTCTGGGCCACCTCCCAACCCTGCGCCTCCTTATCCTCAGGATGCCGGTGCCCAGCCTTATAGTCCTATTCCTGCTGGACCTCAACCTATACAGCCACAGCCACAGCCAGTTCAGGCTGCTATGAGACCAGGCAGTATCTCTTCTGCACCAACTACACCACAAGCACCAACTCCTGGCAACGTGGTCCCTGGTCCAGGCCCGGTTACATACCCAAGCCCAACTCTTGCGCCTACGCTCCCTCGGGACTCTCCTCACTTACACCCTCTTCAACATGGACAGCCTGGTCAATCCGGTCAATCCGCCCAGCAACCTCAACCTGGGCAGCAGTCCCAAACCGATCAACAGTTCCAATCTGGCCCACAGCCTCAGCCGACTCAAGCTCAGTCAGCTCAACAACCTCAACCTGACCAACAACCTCACTCAACTGCACAGCCTCCGCCCGATCAAGAGATACAGCCCAATTACCAATCTCAGGAGCTTCCGCAGGAACCTCCACGAGAGACTCGGGAAGCTACTGATGCAAGCGCTGCATCTCAACCTCAGCCAGTAGAGCAGGACCATGAGCCCCATGTTACCATGCCTCAAGAGCAATTGCAGCCGGCACATGAAGATATAGATGCCGATGGCGAAGCAGATGTGGACAACGACGAACCTAGTGCTAAACGACAACGTATGGATTCGCCAGAACCTCCAAAGGGTGATGACATGGACGACGAAGCTGTGTTAGCCCTCGCAGCTCACAATGGTTCCGCGGATTTCGCTTCCGAGTAAGTTATTGTTGCCTTCTTGGTGTGAAGCGCACAGACTAACCGTTCCTAGTTTTGCTACTTATGGTGAAGCATAGTGGCTCCCTTACTAGACAAACTTGATACCACGGGCATGGGCGTTAGAGACCGGGAGTTGTGCAAATGATCCTTATTCTTTTAATGGGCAGATTAGATACGGGCAAGCATGGGATGATATCTACTGCGCAGTTTGTTACAACTGGGCGAAATGTTTGTGTATAAAAAGAGGACAATACTTGATTACTGAAGAACAGAGAGGATAAACCATTTTCCATTGATGTCAAATATTTTAACTACATATACATAGATGGGTAGGTAACGATCGGTCTTGTTGGTAGCGTTGGGTGACTCGGCTGATTCTTTGTTCCGGCGCCTGGCAGAAGCAATTGATTGCTCTGCCTCACATGATTTGACCGCAAAGACATACACTGCATAGAAATCAAGTTGAACTTGGGTGATTTCTCTAAAAATACCAAATCACCTTGAGATAAACTCATATTAGGGAATATTTGGGAAGCAAGTGTTAAAGTTAAACGGAGCCTCTAATATCGACTAGAACGCCTTGATGAGGGCCGTGCGCCAGCGACCAAGGACTAAACACACAGTCAGGCAAAGTCAGCGTGATTTTTGTTTTATATAGAGTCGTTGCTAGAAAGTATTGCAGGGTGGTATCATTGTGGTAGCCACCAGTCCAGTTTATCGCGATCATAAATCTCCTTTCCCACCTTGGACCAAAGCTCTGCCGAGTCAATCATCTTTTTGAACCCCTGTTCAGTTTTGGTCATAGGGCAATCTACTCCTGGACCGAAGCGCTGCTTGCAAGCCACTGCTCAAATCTGGCATCTTTGTCAGGGGTGGCACTAAACATAAGTCAATAATATATTCCAGACTCAAAGACAGCCGTAGCGTACCTGCGCTCACGATCGTCCTCAGTCTTGCTCATCTTGACATCCTCGTCCTCTTCTTCCTTATTGCGCTTCATCTTCTTGGAGAGATGAGAGTCGACAGCGTCCTTGTCGTCGTCCTCAGACTCGGCCTTCTTCTTGCGACCCTTAGCAGGAATGGCGCGCTTGCGGGGAGTTTTCTTGGAAGTAGGCGCGGTAGCAGGAGCAGGAGAGTTGCTCGTAGAGGTGTCTCCGTGGCGACCCTTAAAGTCGCGCATGATGGACTTGCTGAAGTGCTGGCTGTTTTGGTAGTGAGTAGGGGGGCATGGTTACGGGTACATCGAAAAGTTGAGTGACGGAGAAGAAGAGACGAACGAACTTCAGAGATGAGAGGGGAATCAAACGAAGTGTAATACATACGAGATGGCATCCTTAGTGAAGGAATACCCAAGAGATTCCATGGAGCTGTGAACCTTGGGCCAGTTGTAGCGCATGCGCTCACCATCCTGGGCGCCCATGATGATAGCGACGCAAAGATCGCGCTCGGCGTTGGCATCCCACTTCTTCTCAGCAGGAGGCATGGCGATGGTTGAAAGAATGCTTTGATATTAATGAAGGTATGCTTCGAGGTAGATACTTAGGTAGGTAGTTGAGTGAGTGATGGAGGTGGGAGGGTGAGAGGTGAATGAGTAAAGTAACTAGAATGGGGAGATGGAGAAAGATGATACAGATTAAGTAAAGATGAATAAGGAGAGGTCAGAAATCACAGTGAGAGGAGATAAATACCTAGATGGGATGAAGAAGGATTGCAGGCAGTTGTGTTGCTCTAGCCGAGCATTGAATTATTGCTGCATTGCAATAAAGTAGTGGGCAACACTAGCTCTGCATTCTTCTGTGAATCATTTCTCCTGCCTACCTTCAATGTAGACTTGTGCAGCTTGCCTTTATTTATTCTCCGTTATTCTCCTTAATTTCTTCAACACAACAACATCATCAACATCATCAACCATCCTCTTCCCCTCATTCAACATCGTCAACTCAACATCATGCCTGGAAAATCAAGCGACTGGGACAACGCCGAGTTCCTCATGGATCTTGTCGTCGGCCTCTACACTGGTGCCCAGACCAACAAGGGCTTGACTCCTGCCATCAAGGAATCCATTGAGGAGTACCTCAAGACTCGTGGATATACCACTTCCTTTGACGCTGTTCGGTACGTATTCACTTTTTTTCTTCTTTATTTCAGGCTGCAAATTGTTCTGGCAAACACTAAGAAGCCTGTTACTATCCTTACCTAGCCTTAGAGGAGATTTCTTAGGGAGGTTTGGGTATAAATCTCCTCGCATGGCATTTTCTCCCCTCTCGACAACTTCTCCTCTCTTAGCCTCTCCTTTCTACTTTTCATTCCTGCAACTTGTATTTTGCTTCATCTATCTACCTATTTACTCATCCAACATCATCATGGGCAAGCGTCAAGTGATGGTCTGGGACGCCAACGTCCATGAGGATATCCTCATCAGCCTTTTTCAGCACATCAAGCCCAGCTCCGATGACTGGACTAATGTCATGAATGGTCTTCAAGAAAAGGGATATTCATTCACTGAGAGCGCTCTGCGGTACGAAGTTTCACTCTTTTGACGGGCCGTTTTTGCTTGTTGCCTACCTGCATACTAGTTTTCTGATTTTCTGCTTGCATCTCTTCCATCTTGACTCTTCACTTTCTTCACACTCCTCACATCACCTCTCAGTATTTGTGCACTCCTCTTTCATATCTTTTCATCCTTTCACACCCACCTTTCCACGCTATCTACCACGCATCGCATACAGTTAACAGTATATACTTTTGTTTTCTTTTACTTTTTTATTCATTCACGTCGCCATGCCTCCCAAGCCTACCCGTGGTTGGGATGCCACCTCTCACGAGGACCTCCTCCTTGCCCTCCTGGAAGAGATGAAGCCCAACAAAGCCGTCCTCACTAGTGTGGCCGACAAGATGCGCGACAAGGGCTACTCTTACTCCTTTGACGCGATCAAGTACTTTTTTCCCTCTTTTTGATGCATTTCCTCAACTGATCCCAAACTAACTTTCTTTTCTCTCCAGTCAGCACGTTCAGAAGCTCCGAAAGAACCGCGACACCACGGGGATCCAGAACTCTGGTTCTGAGGCTGCCACTCCTCGCAAGTCTCGGGCCACTGCCCCCAAGACTCCCAAGCGCACTCCTAAGCGAAAGGCTCCCACCAAGTCTGCTTCCATCGCTGATGATGATGATGAAGAGGACCTTGAGGACATGAAGCTGCAGCTCAAGATGGAGGAGACCGACGTCGGGGATGATGCTCTCCTTTCCCCCAAGGGCGTCAAGCGGGCCCGAACTGCCACTCCCAAGTAAGTTTACTTTACAATATGTTCGCTAGGTCTCTCTAACAAATCTTAGGGCTGAGCCTGACACCAACGATGAGCTTGACTCCAACGATGAGCTTGACAGTAGCAAGGTCTAAATCTAGACATCGGTAAGTTGGCATTCCTTCCAGACTGCCCCTTTATCACTCTAACATCTCAACAGTTTGCCTATGTTGAACTTTTCTTCTGTAAATTTGTTGAAGAAATGAAGTTCACGATGAATTGAGGGTGGATATACTGGCTTTGAAGCCCATCACAGAGAGATAGAGGGTGAAAATAGGCTATGTTGATTTGCATATGCCTGTATGTAGCGGCGAATTACCCAGGATGATGGGAATATCATGAGCATGTCTCTGATAAATTAAAGAATATCGCCTACGATCGTGCTCGTTGCGCTTACTTAAGTGATGCTCTGCTATGTAGTGCTAAAACCCAACACTTCACAATATCTTCCACGCCAACGCCGGAATCTAACTTGTCATCATAGACCAAGATGAGTCGCCAAGATCTTAAGTTAGGTTCATATACTGATACCCCAATCTTCCTAGGCTCTGTTATCTCTGTTCCACAGCTTCAACTTTCTGAATCGGCTGTTCATTGTATATCCATGACAAGCAACAGGTGGTGTGCCTATTTTCCCTTATAATCAAGATGATTGTCGTTATTTTCTTATTTGTCCGATATATTGAAAGTCATAGCGGGCTCCTTTCTCATCAGTTTTCCGTGGGCTCCTCCAAGATTGAACGTGGCAACCATACTTCCACACATCCGATTCCAGTTGTTGTAAAAATCATGGGTCCCCCCATATTGACAAGTGGGATACACTTGTTCAGAAAACAAACACTATCGGGGCGAACTTTTATATCACCAAGCAGCAATTGACAATCCAACCAATAGCACAAACATCAGGAGAAGCATTCAATAGCAACTCAAACCGAGGCCATGTCCCCAAGTCTCGATCACAAAGTCATATATATACTTTAAGTACCGTGCTTATCCATTCATAAAGTGACAAGCACTGCTGTAGGTATCTGATACCAGACTACATAGTATGGGTTCAATCAAGTTCTAAGACATATGCATTTCCACCCAAACGCCGCTTCAAATCATCAGAAAGCCATCATTTACCTCGGTCGTCGACCGTCCAGTCTGTTTCCTTCACTAGTTCCCTTCTTCTCGGGAGCCTTAGTCTTGTCATCCCCCTCTCCTTTTCTCTTGACCGCACCTCGGAGTGTCTGACCCTGACCAGCAAAGTGAGGCCTGTTGGCACTCTCCTTTTCCTTTTCCTTGTCGGCATCCGTCTTGACAGGCTTGATCTCGTAACCGAAGAAAAGCTTGTTGGGGGCCAGACGTAGAGCCGCAGGGGCACCATCACGCCTCTTAGGCATGCCTGGAATGTCTACTGTAGGGACTGGGGTTGCTGGCTTGGGTGTTGAGGCCTTGCTACTCTTCTTGACGAGTTTCTGGCCCTCTCCGAGGAAATTGGTCACGTTACTTGTAACTGAAGGCGCAATAGCGCTGTAGTTGATAGACTGAGCCATAGTTCCTTGGTTGTGCAATAGGCCTCCAGCAGGGGCCCCACCTCGTGTGCTTCTGGGGGTGCTTGTTCCGCTCTGACGTTCAGGTTCAACGTACCCTACTGGTGGAGCGAACTCTACAGACACATCAGTTTCAATCATGCTGACTCCCATCTTGTCCGTCTCAGGCTTCACATCGAGAACAGCCACGTCGTAAACTTCATCGTTGTAGGAGAAGTTGAAGACATCGCCCTTGGTCAGTGTGGCAAAGTTGCGGAATGCCTTTTCCAGGACAGCCTTGGGATCACTAATCTCAAGGAAGCTGACGGACTGAGGCTGCAGCTTGACCATCTTGGCCAGCTCCAGTGATGTAGTACGGATCTGGATCATGTCGCCAACATCCATTCCAAGGGTTTCCATCATCTGTTGGGCGTTAGCAAGGCCTTCCAGGGACATATTATAATATCATACCCATTGAGGGATGTATGCTCGTCCTTCCTCTGCGATAAACTCCAGCACACCAGCGTGCGAGTGGCGTCCCTTCTCTCCGTTGATCAACTCCATGAGCAGAGGCCACTGCACGTGAAGCTTGGACACTTTGTCGAGAGCCGATGGTGGTAGGATAATCTTGGAGCCATAGTTGAGCTCTGGTCTTTCAGAACCAGGGGCCATGACAAGAGGATAGCATCGATAGTATTCGTCGAAGCGTTGCACGATGGGTCGTCGTCCATGGCGAGCCATGTTGTAGAGGTGCTCCGGGTTAGCGGGATCGTACCCGCCTCCAAAGCCTGAGTACTAGGACGGGTTAGCACTTGGATCTTCAACTAGCTAACGTATCTGAGCAAGGTACGAACCATGATGATGTGATGGTGGTATATTCGTATGTGTAGAATCAGCGATGTCACAGGTTCAAGATGTCGAGTTTGGCGGTGCACAGGGTGTCAGCAGATAGGACGACTGTCTCGGCTCGAAGTTTGTGTTGCTTCAGCTTTCAATGCCGACGACAAGTTGTTGTGCAATGAATTCACGTTCGGTATTGCAAGATGGGAAAGTTGAAGGATTAAGCTGGTCGATGCACGTTTGAAGGTCCAAAGCCACAGGTAACGTGGGGGCCTGTGGAGGCTACAAAGGCAGCTCTTGATGACGCAGTTGGGCTAGCAGGCACTCAAAAGTGACTAACGAACAGAGTGCAAGTCACCCTATAGCGATAAGTGATTTACACATATTACTGTTTAATATTGCATAAAATGCATTATATGAGTTTATTAAAGTCTTTCTAAGCATCATATATCATAGTTTGAAGCTGAATACTTTATTCGTAATTGGTACATGAATTCATGAGCGTCGTCGTTTCTTTGTCCTATCCGTGGGTACTAGGTTTACCCAAAGATTGATAATACAACTGGCATCTTAAGCTTCCTCTCTTGGAAAAATAAATGATAAAAAAAAAAAAAACCAGAGATATCACGACACAGACTGACCTAGGTATCTTATTATTGAGATAATGCTGGTAGAAGAGTGTTCTTATAGTGAAGGAGTGCGCCTTCCAACTGGGCCTCTTCACTCTTATATTCTCACTGGCCCAGTTTTAAGGCTCGGTTTACGTGCCTGAAGCTTAGATCGTGAGCTGACGAAGATCATTACTCAATCAAGTTTAGCTCTTTCTCATGCCTAGAACTTTACCATGTAGAACATGCAAGCTTCATGATCTCTCATCCTTCATATTTCAATTAACCCTTGCCAGGGTAAGAACTTGGCTACCAAAACATAAGAAACCAAAAAATAAAGCCAATCTATTGTTACTACCGGCCAGACTCTCAAGTTGTTTATTTTTATACCCTAATAAGCCATAGTTAAACATGACGTCACGTCCTTCAGCTCGTCCTAAGCGCGATGGAGAGAACTTTGCGCGAACCCATCATCACGAAGATGAGTCCGATTCGAAACGAGTCAAGTTTGACGTGCGAAACCCCTCAACTCTTGCACCTGACGCTCGCGAGGAAGATGCTATCCTTGACGCTGATGTTATTGGCGGCTCGAATACCAAGCGCGGGGCTGTGAACCTCGATGGTTATGATAGCGATTCAGAAAACGAAGACTTCAACACGCGCAACGAGAAGCGAAAAAAAGAAGAAGCAGATGCTGCGAATTCCGCGTCTAAAGCGCTAGGCACTACAGAGGGCGACGATGACGACGACGACATGTTTGCTGCAGATGATGACGATGCAGCCAACGGAGACAAGAATGTTCCTGAGGGAGACGACGTCCAAGAGAGCGATATAAAGAAGAACAAAGTTCGCTTCCTTGATGCGGATCAGATCGATGGTGCCGAAAACACTAGCAGAGACAAAGAAGGCATTCGACTCGACGACAACGGAAGTAGCGATGATGAAGCCGATGTGGAGCTTGCCATACAAGAAGAGGGTATCGACGAGGAGGTCGGCCTGGGAGGACTCAAGAAACATGCCCCCAAAGTTGAGGCATTCAACCTGAAACAAGAAATGGAGGAGGGTCAGTTCGATCAAGATGGCAACTACATTCGTAAAGGTGGCGACCCCGATGCTGTACACGACAGCTGGTTACAAGGTCTTAGTAAGAAGGAGATGAAAAAGGCGGCGGCAGCACATGAGAAGCGCGAAGCCGAGGCGCGGAAGCAGCGCCTGGAAGATGACGCGATCCTTGTATCCGAATTGCTAAAGACTCTGATCTTGAACCTCGAACGCGCTGAGACGCCGCTCGAGGCCCTGGCCCGGCTGGGTAAAAAGCAAGTAAAGCCCAAGAAGATCCCCAAGTGGAAGCTCAAGAAGATGAACAAGGGCACCGAAGGCATGGACATCGATGGCGGGGAGGAACCCGAGGACCCGGAGCAAAAGAAGATCAAGGCATCAATTGATGCCATCACAGAATCGGCAGACAAGCTCTTGAGCCGAGACTATGAGGAGATCTATGACCAAGAAAGGGAGTTACTGGTACGAGAATATAGAAAGGAGACAGGAGAGGATTGGGCGGAACCAGCAAAGCAGGATGATGACGACGACGAGGAGGAGCAAAGGGCGGCGGTGAAACCAGGACATATGTGGGAGTTTAGATGGGCAGACGGACGTGATGGGAACTCCCAACAAGGACCGTATGACGGGGCTACGATGAAGGCGTGGAAGGATGCTGGTTACTTTCCAGATGGCGCGGTCGAGTTCCGACCCGTAGGTGAGGGACAGAACTGGACTACACATGTTGATGCCTTCGAGTGAAGAGACTTCAACGGCATAAAACGTCACCCAAGCCTATGAGACAGAAAACAAACAGCCCAAGAGAGGGCCTGAGATAGCATAAATGACCAGACTATTTTGTCCCCTAGGTAGGTAGGTAGGTAGGTAGAGTCTAGTTTTCTGCGAGACGGAGGTCAAGGAGCGAAAAAAGGAAACCAAGGTAGTACAGGTCGAGCGCGCACTAAGTGTGGCCCCGGCCTATTGCAAGACAATTGGCGACAGACAAATCCCAAGTTAAAAGGGTGCCACGACTTTCACCTACCATGTCACGGAAATGGATATCCGTTAAGTCTTGTTGTGTAATGGATGCTTGGTCAACCAGTTTGCATGTCTGTGTACATGGGACAAAAACATAACGAGGTGTAAGTGGATGTCGGAACATCTAACAAACATGATATCGAGTGGGTACCGTTTCACGTCGAGAACTCGGCAGACCCCATGAGGATGAATGCATGACACAGATAGCTTCGGCATTGCGGTTCCGGACCTGGAGACAAGGTTGAGAGCTAAAGATGCAGTTTAGATGGGCGCCTTCTCGGGCACCTCGAAGGGGTGCGGTGATCATGCGAGCCTGGCTGAGCTGGGTTTCATGACAGCGGCCAATGGTCGAGAAAGCATCATGGCACAGTACATGTACCGCGGGAACATGACGGAAGAAGGAGACTAGAGACCAAAGAGGACATTCAGAAGACTGGAAAAGCTGGGATGATGGGTCCAAATGTGGCATCTGGTTCCTGGGGATCCCGATGCACGCCGGGGACGGGTGAGGCCGGGCAAGTGGGATCTTGAAAAAGAGGCTGAGAAGCCGGGGCAGCGAGTCAAGTATGGAGTAAACAAGTAAAGACTATGGAGAATTGGAGCCTGTCTGGGGTTGTATGGGGTTATACGGGTGGACGGGAAGAGGTTTGGTCTGTTGGTGTCTTTGACAGGCGAGGCTTGAGCCGATCCAAGCCCGTGATCCCGTGATGCTCCGGTACGTGGAGTGGGAGCCGGGGCGGTAGCTGTAGCCGAACGGTCAAGCACCGAGAGGCAGCCTCGCGGCGACAAACGGGCTGGATCGGGCTGCAAGGATTATTCGGGAACAATACTGATTGGAAGTGTGTAAGTGAGTTGTAACGGTAGTGAATTGATTCGATGACGATGAGTCCCTGTACGTAACACGGATGAAAAAGTTCGTGGTGGGCTCGTGCCTTGCCTTGGTTGAGTGTCGATCAAAGCGTTTCGGAACAAGTGATGTATTGCAGTAATTATCGTAAGCTATTATCGTGTTTCGAGTAATGTTAATGCTCGAAAGATCGATATCATGAACTGATGTTGAAGGTCCAGATTTGACGTCGGATTCGGGCCAGGGATCATAATCATGGTGGAGGGGGGATCGAGCTGCTAGCCACAGTAAGCAGGGGTTCTATCAGCCCAGTTCAGTCTGGATAGGTGGGCTCAGGTCATGATCTCAGGCGAGGAATCTCGGTGAGATTCAATAATTCGAACGAAAAATAAGACCATAAGGGTCCGTGTATATCTATTTGCATTGTGTGTGTAGGTATGGATGATGTTATAGCAACTATTATGGGTTTCTGATTCAGGGTCCCCCATCTCTGAACAATCACCATACTGAACTTCAATGCACACGCCGATGGGGTCCAGACAAAGGACCGATGTCAGATAAGCGGATAGTCGAGTTGTTTTTTTGGTGATGGAATTGACAGATGGACTGATCTGATTCCATCTGATATGATGATGCATTTGAGAGTAATTCGAATAAACCAACGAATATATTCGGTCCGTCGAGGACCGTGGTCTATCGACGGGCCGACATAGGCCCTGACCTCGATGAGTTGATCTGAGTCGACAACATGATGCCTCAACAATTACGGTCCTTCCCTCACCGTAAGAAGAGGGACGGCAAGAAAGTGAAACGGGAAGAGTTTGGAGGTTGAAGATCTACTTGATTGGTTTATGGGCATGTATGTCTTGATGCAAACATTCCTGTTAGTAATATATATACTTTATTCAATGATGATTTGTGTAATCAGTATAGCCAAGTCTATTCCTAGACACTTACGGATAATTACCAACAGGTTTATTATGCCATATCTCAGAATAGGATATGTTATGGAATCGAGTCAATATTGGAGATTGGGAAAACGATACCCCCCGCCAGCCCCGCCACATTGCGTAAAAAGACGCAACAGCAGATGTAAAAGCCCGCAGCTAAAGTCGAGCGAAGATCAGGTACTAAGCCTCTTTTAGTGTTACCGTCGTGATGGTGAAGCTTCTAGCTCAATTAAGGTGACTCCGAGATATAAAAGCAACGTAAACAGGGAATTAATAAGAGAGATTGTTGTTGTTATTGTCACAGAGATGACGGAAGCACATCGAAAGACATCAAGAGACATGTCCCAAGCCGTACGACTCTTTGTGAACAGAGCGAACCGAGCTTTACAAATAGGGGACGTGCATGATGCCATTTTGTTGATAATACATGTAGGTATGTTGGTTGAGAAGAGAAGATATGATATGAATAGTTTTGGCGGCAAAAGGGGATGTGGATGGTGAGTCAGTTAGACCAAAGAGGTAAATATGTAGTCTGAATGCAGGCCTAAATGCATGCGGCGTAGACAACCAAGATCTCAATCGTCAAACCTACACAATACACGAGATGCAGCCCAATGAATGATGATGAGGCTGGTGTTGATCGTCAACCAAGTCCGTTCACCGGAGCTTCCGGAGAGGAAGAAAAAAAAAACATCTGATATGTTTGTAACAAATTTGCTGAATCCATTGAACTGAATTGAAAGACATCACGGAGAGTTGCACGGTAGAATACGGTGTCTTATTCGGCGGCACCTACAGAAAAAACAGTATCCATCCATTTCGTCTCTGTGAGGAGGAGGATGGATGGACAGAAATGGAATCAACTGAGGTGGCATGGCATGGCATGAGGGGTAGAAAAGGTACTTTTTAATAGAGTGAGGCGTGCATAATGGGACATGTATCTTTTTCAGGGCATCAATCATCACCCCACCATAATGTATTGTAGCTATTGTCAGTAGTGGGGACCTTAGCTCACCGAGCTGTGGAAAGTGAGCATGATATGCTCTGTACCTAAGGACAATTAACTTGTAAAGCTGTAAATATATTAGTTAGTTCTTATAAAACATTGAAAGGTTAAGTATTACCAAGTCATGGCAACGGGATTCTATGTCCAGCTATCAAGGTACTAGACAGCCGTTGAGAGGGGAAGGAAAAAAAAAAAGTCTCCCACCCTCTCACCCGATATTCCATGTTCCATTGGCCCCTGTTATGATACGCTACCTACACTACGATTACCTACCTACCTACTATACTGTACGCCCCCTTGTCTGGCCTGGCCTAGCACCCTGGCAGTCTGGGTCTGGTCTGGGGTGTGTGTTCGTGGGATGATGAATGATGTGGTGGGTGGGTTACTAAACTAAACATGAGCTTGATGAGAGAGTCCATGGTTTTCGATTATTAGTATTTGTACTCCCACCCTTTCTCCTCGACCTTTTTTCTTTTTCCTCTCTTTTCTTTTCATTCTCATCATCCTCAACAACACAACAACTACTTCTTTCTTCACCAAAAGGTATGTGTCTTACCTGTCTAGCTTTAGCTCTCTAGCTTTGCCTGTCTCTGCCCCTCCATTCTCAGGATTGCTTGGCTGGTTCTACCCCTCCATTCCGCGCGACTACATCACCATCATAACATCACAACATGATCTCGTTGCTTCCATGCTACATCATGTCATATCATACCTGCTTCTTATCACCACTCTGTGATGATACGTCAACTATTGGCATTCATCCATTGAGCGGATAACAAGGGGAGGGGAGCAATTGGAAGGCAAAAAAAAAAAGGGACAAGAAAAAAGACAGAGCTTCAGAGCTCATATCCTGCCCCTCCTTTGCACCAACGTTGTCCCCTCCCCTCCACTTTCTTCTACTGTGGCAACACCCGTCCTCACCAAAAAAAGCTCTCTTTACATACCATACCATACCATACCATACCATACCATACCTGCCTCTGATCTGATCTGTCCCACTCCGTCATACAGACGGCATATAAAATACCCCACTCCCTCGCCTCAACCTTTGCTCTTCCTCCTCATCTTCTTCTCTATCACCATCAATCCTAAAGGATAAACAAAACATCTCATCTAACAATCTTTCCTCAAACAGAACCTCCTTAACAAAATGGCTCCCATCAAGGTCGGCATCAACGGTTTCGGTCGTATCGGCCGTATCGTCTTCCGCAACGCCGTCGAGCACCCCGACATCGAGGTTGTTGCTGTCAACGACCCTTTCATTGAGCCTCACTACGCCGTAAGTTGATCTCCCGACGATCTCGCTCGTTCCCGCGCTCGATCCTACAACAACAGCAAGTTGCTTGCTTCGCTCCGTCATGCTACGCATCCGGGCAGCCGCATCATGATGAAGTTGGGACTGGCCCGTTACTATGTCATTATCGACGACAGAACTGTCTCGAACGTGGCAAACGACCATCTAGGTTCCTTTTTCTTCATCATGGTGGCATAGCATGAGAGATAGCAGCTTCTTCTGTACACATCAAGCTACCCCTCATTGCCCCACGCTCCTATCATTGTCAGCACCAAGCTAACCTCAGCCTTTCCACAGGTCTACATGCTCAAGTACGACTCTTCCCACGGTCTCTTCAAGGGTGAGGTCGGCAACCAGGGCAACGACCTCGTCGTCAACGGCAAGACTGTCAAGTTCTACTCTGAGCGTGACCCCGCCAACATCAAGTGGTCCGAGACCGGCGCCGACTACGTCGTTGAGTCCACCGGTGTCTTCACCACCATTGACAAGGCCAAGGCCCATCTTCAGGGCGGTGCCAAGAAGGTCATCATCTCTGCCCCCTCCGCCGACGCTCCCATGTACGTCGTCGGTGTCAACGAGAACAAGTACGACGGCTCTGCCGACATCATCTCCAACGCTTCTTGCACCACCAACTGCCTGGCTCCTCTCGCCAAGGTCATCAACGACAAGTTCGGTATCGTTGAGGGTCTCATGACCACCGTCCACTCCTACACTGCCACCCAGAAGACCGTCGATGGTCCCTCCGCCAAGGACTGGCGAGGTGGCCGTGGTGCTGCCCAGAACATCATCCCCTCCAGCACCGGTGCCGCCAAGGCTGTCGGCAAGGTCATCCCTGAGCTCAACGGCAAGCTTACCGGCATGTCTATGCGTGTCCCTACCGCCAACGTCTCCGTTGTCGATCTGACTGTCCGCCTTGAGAAGGGTGCTTCTTACGACCAGATCAAGCAGGTCATCAAGGAGGCCTCTGAGGGTGACCTCAAGGGTGTCCTGGCCTACACTGAGGACGACGTTGTCTCCTCTGACCTTAACGGCAACACCAACTCCTCCATCTTCGATGCCAAGGCCGGTATCTCCCTCAACGACAACTTCGTCAAGCTGGTCTCCTGGTACGACAACGAGTGGGGTTACTCCCGCCGTGTCCTCGACCTCCTGGCCCACGTTGCCAAGGTCGATGCCTCCAAGTAAGCGCAGAGCGCTCAAGGGGCTGGAAGCAAAACCAAACCTAATTAGACGCGACATGATAAAGATTCCAGTCGGTCGTGTGTTTTAATGAAGCAAAGAAATGAAAGCAAATAAAAATACCAAAATCCGGGGAGATTGTCGGAGGGGATGACAACGAGGTTGTTATCATCGGCTCGAGTTCCCTACTAGACAATTGATCTTAGTATAGCCGTGGACAGAAAAAATATAGATCCATCCCTCTTGAAAACGTGTCTTAAAATTAAACTGTGAAGCGCAACATGACTGTAGATAGATAAGCGATGCTTATTTGACCTCTACATCACCATCTTGCCAGTAGAACGTTGATTATGTCTTAGGGCAAATGTATGGACAGAGCTTAACTCAACAAAATCTTCTGTAGCTTTGTGAGTGTAGAAACTAATACAGTCGATTGGCTGGCAACCTTCACTCATATTATGCGAAATTTGTCATGACCTTATCATTCATGATGTTGGCTTGGATATCCCGAAGTCAACCGCCAGACTCCTCGACACTCGCTAAGCCAGTATATTCACAAGCTATTCAGCGGCCCCCCCTATCTTTGTTCCATGCAGTTATGTGAATGCATATACCAGTGGTATTCTCCTGTAAGCATGCTCTCCCCACACTCCCTGTTCGCCGAATGCTCCTTTACTCCCTCCTCTCATTAACCCTTTTCCCTTTCCTGTTTAAAGCAACCCTTGTCCGGCAAGATAGAATGACAACAATAAAAACATATAAGGCAACTGCAGAGGGCCTGTATCCCAGGCGCAATAGATGAAATCAAATCGCTCTCCGTTTTGATCTGGGGGGATATCATAGTGCAAATGACAGCAAGAATACTTTTGTCCTTGCCAGGCGCCTCAAATGACGCGGCGGGCTGGGATAAGCTGATAAGCAATATCCTCAGAGTTTAACTCAAAAAGCATATAGACGTGGAAAGTCGATTCACAAGATGTCCTGTTGGTTACTCCTTGGATATTGGTTGAATGCGACAGAAATGGCTGTGGTCTCTTAAGCCAATCCCTCGACAAAACAGAATTGAATACTGGAGCCAGAGACTCGCCTGAGAGACAAGCCCAAGTGAATTGTTGTTCGATCAAGTTCAACCGATCTTCAATATGCGCAGATAACATGCGTTATTGCCGAGCAACTCGTATGCTGGCCTCTTTGGGGTCGAACTCGGCTGACCAATCGACATTTTCATCATGACACCATTGTCGGATAACGCGCATCGACGCCTGGCAGACTTCCTCGACCGTCGACCAGGGTGTTATATCAGCTCGAAGACGCGAGTTACTTATTCCTTCATAGACGTCACGAACTGTGGTCCAATTTCGGTAGCGAACCGCTTGGTGCGCGAAGATATCCTCCTTGGATATATGATCGTAGTTGGGGAACGATTTGAGAAACTCATCCACTGTGATGGCCTGCAAAATCAACACAAGAGCATACATGGGTTGATATCGCCGCGTGTCGCGTCGAGTTTCTTTTTGCAGGTAGTCGACCATCTTGATCAAGCTAGCCCAAGGGCCTGGGTCGGATGACTTGTGCTGCATGTTGCGGCTCACATTTAGAAGGTGGAAGCTGGCCATGAAGGCGACAGTGCTCTCAACTGCAAGCGCGTAGTACTGTTTGCGGCTTGTGTCGCTTCCGCGCGAATCACCACTGTTTGCAAGCTTATTGCATCGCTGGTTCGCAATGTCGCCCTCGTGCTTGAGTCGTCGACCCAGATTAGAGAAGCGGGTATGTTTCTCATTGACGGCCCGGATATCGGCTTTGTCGCTTCGGCCAACATCTGTGCCATTAGTGGCAGGACGATCTGAAGATCCAACGGGCATAGGTGTCACTGTAGAAACATCTCCAGGCGTATGAGCATGCGAGTTACTGGAACTGACACGAGACATAGCAGCACCCTTCTTGGATGGCGTTGACGGAGGAGGCAGGGCCGAAGAAACCGACGGCAACCGAGGGCGCTTGACAGCTATCGTGTCGCCAGTATTCTCTGTCGACGCCGGACGCTTCTTCGCCTGGCTGACTGGCTGTGCTTCTGTGCTCTCCGAACGTTCTCTCCGCTTTGGCGGCAATGCCAATATGCGCCTGAACGTTTGTCGCATTCTCTTGGATATTCTTAGCGTCACGATTAATCGCCTCTTTTCTCTTGGCTCTTCGTTCTCGTCCTCGTCTTCTTCTTCGTGCTCGACAGGGGCCTTCCTTGCCGTCGTTGACTTGTGCCGCTCTTCGCTCCGCCTGTCGCTTGGCTCGTCTTTGTCCCGATCGTCGTACAGTTTGGAATCGATTGTCTTCACAGAAACCTTTCTTCGCGACAGCTCAGCCTCCAGAGCGCTTGGCAACGTGGGCGACAAAAGTGTAGGCAATCGCACAGGTGACTTGTCTCGGGCCGACTCATTTCTTGCTTTGGGTGGTGGCGGTGGTGCTTCAAGCTTCTTTGGTTTTGTTGACTTGATAGTATCTGCAGCCTCATCGCGTGGCCTTCTTCTATCATTTTTATCTGCTGAGTTCTGACTCTCCAGATTCAAGTGAAGAGGCGAGAGCAGTGGAGGTACGGATGAGCGCGAAGTAGTATCGGCCTTGGCCGGTGTACCTTTTGTGTTCCCCAATGCGCCTGGCCGGGCACCGTTGACTGAATCACCACGTGCGCGTCCAGCCGGGGAAGGGTTACGAGCAGCAGAGGTATTGGTACCTTTGAGAACACCTCGTCCATTTGAAAGCGAAGATGGGACTGATGGCTTGTCTCTTGATGGTATGTCAGAAGGCGGCAAAGCCTCTCTGTCCTTCCGGCGTGGGGGATCATCTCGACCTGATCGCGACCGGTCGTCAACTGGGCGAGGCATATCCGGCCTGGGCCGTTTCTGAGACCGATGGTCGTCGTCAACGTTAGATGCACGTTTCCTGCTGTCGGGTGATACGGGTCGAGGTGGGAGGGACGCAGGTGGCTTCGGAGGGAGCCTGCAGCAGTCAGTATGTTCGTCCAGGCAATCACGATTTGGATTGTATAGCGCAGCCTACCTCATATCAACAACAGGGAGTTCCCGGGGCTTCTGCGGTTTAGCATCCAGGTGGTGGTCTCTTTGACGCTGTGAATCATGTTTTCTGATTTCTGGCACTGATTTGGATTCTGATGCGCGCTCATGTTCGCGCTTTCTGGCGCTGGGTGGCTCTGGCGTGGATGTGTCCGAGGTAACGCCAGATGTCTTTTTGTTCTTGTAGTCACTGAGTGACAACTTTTTCTTCTCGCCGCCCTTTGCGAGGATACCCACGTCGCGAGGGACGGGTTTCGGGGGCTCGACACGCATGTCGTAGTACGATCTGGTAAGGAGTACACCGCGATCAGCTTCCGACACAAGTGTCGAATATTGTAGGCGGGTAATATCCCATTCCTCAGGATGCTTCTGTCGGGACTCGTTGGCGGGGATGTGATATCGCCAGTCTGCGGAGTAGGATAGGTGATGGGGTTTCTCGGGTAGGATGCGCTGTGTGAGCTGCTGGACCGTCTTCGCCGCGGCTTCCATTGTTCATGGATGTCAGCATGCCGGGAGGACGAAGACGGGGGCACGGTAAGATGCTGTCAGTAGGTTGCGGTGCGGTGCGGTACGAGGTTTTGGCGATCGAGGGTGACGCGCGCGAGGGGTACGCAGGGAGGCTGAGAACGCGACGACAAAGGCGCTTTGAACGGTAGACTGTCGCAGTATCGACACTGATAAAGATACGAATCAGTTGAAAACAATGTCTTTTGTGGTCGGCGTTATTCACTGCTGACCCGCAGGGTTGTCGCGATGGTTAATGGTGGCTGATAGTGGTAGTGGTTGATGTCTAGTGACAAGACATGGAAGTGACCCAGTTCGTCGCACACGATAGCAGACAAGTTGATGTTAGCGCGCTTTCAAGCACAGCGAACGAGCGAGGGCGGGAGATGGGAGCACCAGCCAGAGAGACACCCACCCGATTTAGCAATTGATAAAAAGGGAGGGAAACGAATTGTTTGTTTTATTGGAGGTTGTAGATAAACCGAAGGACAAAAAGAACAATTGAAGTCAATCAATAGAAAGAGAAGAGTCTGTTCTGTTTTTCTTTGTTGGCATGCAAGATTGGGTCGGTGACAGACTGACAGTCAGTAATTGACAGCCCGTGACAGTGGCAGTGATAGACAGCCAGAGCCAGCCCCAGCCAAGTTTAGTACTATGTAGTAACTTAGTACTAAGCTAGTGGTTTAGAGATGACCCCAACCTACATGTGGAACAATTGGACGGGCCTCTGATTTCCATTACTTTTGGGTGTCATAACTTCCAGTTCCCCTGGGCCCTGAGCCCTGGGGAATGGGAATGGGAACGGGAATGTCATCGGGTATTTCCGTCCGTCCTCTAAGTTGTGGCTGTTAATGGGCCCTGGCCCGTCCGTTCCTAGTCGTAGGTGAAGTGAATCCATTCCCTTTTATCACTAGCTGCGCATATCCATTTCAACTCCATACAAATAGGTAGTTTATAACGTTGGGTATGAAGAATGCATATAAATATAAACAACATTTAGCCGTTTGTTATTATACCTACAATGTTTAATTTATCGAGATCTACTTTATTTGGCCACGCACCTCACCGTTATTCAAACAGATATGGAGCCTTGTTTCCTTATATCGTAGTACCTACCTCTAACACACACACATGTATACATTAGGTAGTACATACAAGGGTCACTGCTTCAAGTGCTATCCTCATTCAAGTCTCACAGACACTTTGTTTCGAAATAGAGACTAGAGGTTGCCATAGCATTACTTCAAATGCAAGAGCATCGATCGTATTTACTTAGTCTAGGTGATTGTACACGATCTCACATCAATATCGATGTCCTTCCTTTTCCCTAACGCCGTATCAACAAGGGTATAATGCTGCTGCCTCAAGTTGTCACAATCCTCCTTTGTCCTTTACCCAGCTCAACCGTACCAAAGCAAAACCCAACCTAGAGCCCAAACCAACGCTCATGCTTGGTGGCTCCACGAATCGCAATATGTTCATACAACATCTGATCTAAGGAGCGCCGTTCCTCGACGGGGGGGATTACTACTGCCTGTTCTGCGTCTCTTGTTCGAGCCCTCCGGGTCGTCATATATGCATTCAAGGGTGCTAATCCGTGCAGAGAGATTTGCCAATTGATTGGCCGCATAGTTTACGACGTGCTGGGACAGATTGTCGTACCATTTCTTGCTGCTCAAGTTATTCTTCCAGCTATCCATCGCTTGTATCCGAAACTCAACATCTTCGAGCTCGCTGTTCACCGAACTGCGAAACGCATTGGCCTCTTGAAGTAACTGATTAATCTCCTTTTCGAATGAGGCGGTCTGCTCGTTGCAACGTTTTCGTAGGCTCTCGCCGGCCTTTTTGACCATTTCCGTCTGCTCTTTGCTCTTCTCCAACTTTTTGTTGACATCCGCGAACGATTGTTTTGTGCACTCTTCATTATTATGACTTAGTTTTTTGAATAAGTCCTCAAACAGCTTGTACATCTCCTCCTTTGTGGCAATGTCCAGCTGCATAATCTTGTCTTCAACAACATGCGTTATCGTCTCATTGGTCGTTGAAGAAGTAGGGTTGGGCGGAGGCGGAGTCGGGGTCTTGCCTGCTTTCAATTTCGACACAGATTCTCTCAATTCTAGCACATCGGCGATAAGCATCTTGATATCTTTGCTTGACGGAAAGTCCGCCACAATGCATTTGAGATCGGCAGCAGGCGGATACTCTTGAATTATCGCATTAAGCTTCTCGAAATCTTCAGGCGACCGTTTTGTAATTTCGCTTTTCAGGGAAGTAACATTCTTTTCGAGTAGGCTGCTCCTGCTATGCTGCTTTGCGATAGACGATTGCAGAGAGGATAGCTCTGATGCCTGGACTGTAGAGGCGGACGATACAGAGGCAAGTTTCTGGCCCAAATCGTCGGCTCTTTTTTGCTGCTGATTTACAGTTGACTTTAGCTGAGCTAAGTCTGAGTTGACTTTCTGACCCAAATCGTCAGTTCTCTTCTGCTGCTGATTTACGGCCGACTGCAATTGAGCCAAGTTCGATGCCTGGCCTTCCTCGGTCTGCAGTTTTTCTTTTATTGATGCGCCCAAGGAGGCAACGTTGGTCTCGAGCGACTCTGTCTTTTTTCGGAAACTTTCTGTGCTGGATTTCAGGCTGGCAATGGTAATATCTCGTGCCCTGTTTTCCTCAACCTGTTCAGAGTACAAGCGAGTGAAGGTAGCGTCTAGGTCACTATGCTTCTTGGCCTGGTCACGAGCAGCGTTTTCGAAGGTTGAGAACTTCTCCTCCAAAGAACGTTGCTTCTTTTTATAATCTTCGGCCATAGAGGATTGGATCTTGACAAGTCTCTTTGCCTGTTGGGAATCTTGCGAAGACTGCTCCACAGCCCTTTCGAGATCTCGAATTTTCGATAACGTTGGTTCTAGCTTCTCTTTCTGCATGAAATTGATATTCCGTACTTGAACTTCGAGAGTGTCCCGGAGTCGAATCGTTTCTGCTGTGGCGTTGGGTATCGCTGTTTGAGCGACTGTTGTGCTGCTCGGGCTTGCCACAAGGTCGGCTGAACGTTTACTAGTCAGAGTGGCTAGTTGTTCCGTGTGGCCATCTATAAGTCTTTGAAGCTGCTTGGTCGCCTCAGCATTATTCGATAGACCCTTGTTAAGATTGTCTTCCAAGCTCGTTATCCTGGGACTGATTTGTTTATGGATTTCCGAGGATATTTGCACTTCCACAGCAGGTTGAATTGTTTTGAACATGACCTCGAGTGTGCTGACCCTATCCTCCAGGGACTGGTTTTTTCTCTTTTGTGCCTCGAGTTCGTCTGCCAAGGCCTGCTTCCTTTGTTTTTCCTCGTTGATGGCCTCCTGCAGCGCCGTGACCTCATTTTGTAGGCCACTCTCCCCTGATCTAAGTATCGATTGGCGCAGCTCCGACAACCGTGGTTCGAGGTCCGATTCGTTTCGAATGCCCTTGGGCGTCCCTGGTCGAGTAACAGGATTCGCCGATGTTCTCAAGTATGAGTCGAGCTCGGCCTGGAGTCTGGGGTAAATCTGAGCAAGCTTTCGCCTCAGCCGGTCTGACTCTTCTTCGCCTCTCTCTATCTCCTTTTGTTGGAGTGGCCCTATGGAAGCAAACTCAATTGGCCTCGAGCCTGATTTGTTGAACTCCTTCTTAATTTTATTAAGACGAGAGTCTGCCTTCATCAGGTCCCCGTGAGCAGCGGACATTTCGCCGATAAGTTCCATCCCCACTTGGAAATCGCATCTGGAGGCGCTCCTCCCGCCTGGTGTTGACGATGATGATGTTTTTTGTCCTACTTGCCGCGAATCAGCCACGCCTTGGTCACTTCCGTTGACAGGGCCTATTATCCTACCATGATTTCTGGGGATGAATCTGTCGGTCTCCCTCCTTTCATTTCTCCTAACATCATGATCTGTGTCTCTTGTGTCGCGCGGCGGACAGCGATATCGGTCGGTCGGTCGATCGCGGTAGTCAGTCGATCGACCGGGGAGGTCCCTACCAGCCATGGCGGCTCTGGTAGCAACCTGAAGTCGCAGACATTCGGCAGTATGAAGAGACGAAGATTCAAGGCAGGACAAGCGCCAGGTATCGTGTGTTTATGAGCGGGCGCTGGTTGGATGGCAACACGTAGAAATGTACAATAAACAAGAACCAAAGAATGTAAAGGAAGCGGTGCTGGCTTATCCAGCACCCAAATTGTAGATTAGTAGCGAAGTGACGAAGATGCGACTGCAAGGTACGTCGCGTAAAAGGAATGATCTAGTGACGGTGGATGACGTGGAGAGGGGCAGTGGAAACAAACAAGAGTTTCAGCCACGGTCTTTGTTAGAAGCGAGGAGTGAAAGGAAGGGGGTGAAAGGAAAGATATAGATACTAGACAATACCAAAAGCAATGAAAGGCGACACAGAAAGCGGCAACCTGCAGAAATCAACAGTGACACTTGACAGAGGAGAGAGTATCAGGTTACTAGTTAGGGGAGAAAGGAGGACAGGAGAAGAAGAAAAGAAAAAAGACAGGCCTCTGCTATACTAACAGAATGGCAATCGAGAAACGAATTACGGAGCCTACTAGAAGCTCGGTTGCTTCCATGTAACTATTTTGATAGCTCCCACCCGCAAGCAGAAAAACAGGTATGACGAAACCGAGCCACTGTATAAGGTGTCTTTTCTTCTTCTTCTCCCGTCCTTCTCAGGGTGAATCACAGTCCGCCCACTGGCCGATACATAGTACATAAGTTCCTAAGAGGTATACACTTAGAGAGAGAACGATTCGCTGCATGAAGACTGCAGTATCGGTTTCTACCGAGTCTCTGGACTATGGACCATTCTCAATGGCAACAATACCTTGGTGCTTACCTACTAGTCTAGGTAGTGGAGACCGAAAACCCCCAGTCTCAACTTCCATTTATGCCAGGCAACTAGGTATGTAATATGATGCCTTGCAAACGCAATATAGTACTACATAGGTACTATCCATAATGTTTAGTTTAGTCTGTAGAGATACCTGAATGTATTCGCGATTGTTTGCTTGGCCTGGACTGGGCTGGAACGATTTCATGACGCTAACTGCCGCTGAGTAGCGATGCAGGTGGGGCCGAGTGTGATCCCTGACTGGACACAGAAGCGACGGGACCTAGATTTCAAACGCAAGACTTCCATTTTAGCTGGAACAAAGTACCTATAATTCCTGGTAATAAGAAAGCCCCAAGTAAAATTATTCATTCATCATAAGAGACATGCTGTAGAATCCACTTGTCCCTCCCTTAGATTCATAAAGTTATTATGATATCCCCAGTCCATATTAGTAGCAATTTTTATAGGTAAATTAGTAGGTACTTATACGGATACCCGCGTTGCTTTACTGTGTACAAGTATCTTCTCGATCACATGTGGCGGTGCATGACAAAGATGTGGCGCCAATGCATTGGTTGGTCGCGTACTAACATATTTTTTGATAATTGTATGCGAAGGGGTCGTGCAGCTCTCGCGCAACCTTGCCTAGTAGCTTCCAGCCTCGTTCATCCAAGGCCTTCTTCCATCAACCAACCATACACTCCAATTCTTTATATTTCGTGACTTTGCTTGCGCATAACACGCGACAAGATGGCTGCTGTAAGTTGTGCAACATTCTCCTCTACTTGACTTGTTACTTACTTAGGTTTCAAACAATAGCCCGTGATGACCGTGTCAGAGTCTAAGGACCTCAGAGGGCTCAACCTCATCGCGGCCCATTCTCATATTCGTGGTCTCGGTGTCGATGCGACTACTCTGGAGCCTAGGGCATCATCTCAGGGCCTCGTTGGACAGGAGAAGGCGCGAAAAGCTGCTGCTGTCATGCTACAAATGATCAAGGAAGGAAAGATTGCAGGCCGAGCGGTTCTTATTGCAGGACCCCCTAGGTATGTTGACTCAGCCGTTTAACTACTATACGACGCGTACTGAACTGTGTCTAGCACTGGAAAGACCGCTATTGCCATGGGTATGGCACAATCTCTCGGCCCCGATGTCCCTTTCACAACCCTTGCGTCTTCAGAAATCTTTTCGCTAGAAATGTCAAAGACTGAAGCCCTCACACAAGCTTTCCGAAAGTCGATCGGTGTACGAATAAAGGAAGAGAGTGAAATCATGGAGGGAGAGGTTGTTGAGATTCAAATTGACCGCAGTGTCACTGGTAGTGCCAAACAGGGAAAGCTGACCATCAAGACAACCGACATGGAGGCAGTTTATGATATGGGTAGCAAGATGATTGACGCCATGACCAAGGAGCGCGTTATGGCTGGCGATATCATCTCGATCGACAAGTCTTCTGGCAAGATCACCAAACTCGGCCGATCCTACGCTCGATCTCGCGATTATGATGCCATGGGCGTCGATACAAAATTTCTTCAATGCCCCGACGGAGAACTTCAGAAGAGAAAAGAAGTTGTGCATACTGTGACTCTTCACGAAATCGACGTCATCAACTCGAGGACACAGGGCTTCTTGGCTCTATTTTCAGGCGATACTGGAGAGATTCGCAGCGAGATTCGAGATCAAATCAACACCAAGGTTGGCGAGTGGAAGGAAGAGGGCAAGGCCGAGATCGTTCCTGGTGTGTTGTTCATTGACGAAGTTCACATGCTTGACATTGAGTGCTTCTCATACATCAATCGAGCTCTCGAGGACGATCTGGCCCCTGTAGTCATTATGGCCAGCAACAGAGGCAACTCACGCATTCGTGGTACTGATTATCGCAGCCCTCATGGACTGCCCCTCGACTTTTTGGACCGAGTTTCCATCATCAACACGCACTCCTACACACCCGAGGAGATCAAGCAGATTCTATCTATTCGAGCGCAAGAAGAAGAGGTCGACGTACACCCCGACGCTCTCGCCCTCCTTACAAAGATCGGCCAGGAGGCGGGTCTTCGTTACGCCAGCAATCTTATCACCACCTCGCAGCTCGTCTCCGCTAAACGGAAGTCCAAGCAGGTCGAAGTCGGCGATGTGCAACGCAGCTTCCAGCTCTTCTATGACCCTGCGCGCAGCATCAAGTTTGTAGCCGAATCGGAAAAGCGTTTGATCGGCAACACTGGTGCAGTGGACTTCTCAGTAGGCGCTGCTGTAAGCAACGGCGAAGAGAAGATGGATCTTAGTTAATTATCATGGCGAGCAGAGCCTGGCGTTTAAAGGGTATCGGAATGTGAAGACGGGTAGGCCCGAAGAGAGAAGGGATATTTGTACCATACTGATTTGGCGTAGAATGGGATCGAACAAAACTAAGCTCACAAAGGAGTTACAAGCCGTCCAGGTTATGTGAGCCTTACAATTGAAACTCGGTAGATTTGCTTATCCATTTTTACTGCAACACGGCCTGGTGACGGATGTGCTTGTTCTTTTAACGACTGAAAACAGTCAAGACTAGAATTACAGCTAACACTAATGATATTCAAGTTCAAAAAGCTGACGCAGCATGCCAAAGACACAGGTCTCGCCATATCGACAGCATAATAACACTCACGAGTTAACTGACAACCCATCAATACGTGTGTATCAATGTCAAAGCCGTTGCTCATGGTTAAGAGCAAGGCTGGGCCTCGGTGGGTGGAATGTTATAGTGCTTTGCGAATGGATCATCTGTCGCATCGCGCGGGACATGCTCAGTCATCCCTGCGAGACGCTCTGACTGCTCCTTGCCCCAGAACGTGGTGATGAAAGCAAAGATAAGATCCAGACCGGAAGTGACCTAATGTGAGTTTCAGGTTAGACAACATGGAGTAGCTTTCAAGAAGCGTTAAGAACTTACACCTGAAGAAGACCAGACTTTTCCGTCAATAACATAACGTGCGGGAGATACCCAATTCACCTTGGGGCCCATCTGCTTCATCGTGGCCCAGGCATTCTTATTAGTCGTTGCCATATGTCCGTCCAAGATACCCGATCTGGCCGCGACACCGGCACCGGTGCAGATAGTCATCAAGACCTTGACCTTGGGATACATCTTTGCGATATAGCTAGTAACAGCTTGAAGGTCCGGGTTGCGGGCGCCAGCACCGCCAGGAACGATGAGAAGGTCGAGCTCGAGCTCGTCGTCGAAAGTGTTGGTTGGTGGGATCATGGGGAAGAAGCTCGAGTCGAACTTGTTCATAGCTACAGGCGCTGTGGTGACAGGATCCAGTCTCTCGGCTATGAGGTAAAGGTTGAGCTGCTGGACGCTGAGAGAGATGAGTTGGAGAGGATCCAGAGGGCCGAAGACATCCATCATGTCGAATGCTTGGAAAAGGACGACCCCGACGTTACGGATCTGAGAGCCGGTGATATTAGGAATAACACCAGGAGTGATGCATGTTGGCTCGGCCTCGCGAATGTAGTTGGGATAGTGTTCGTCATGTCTACCGATAGCTGATGCAGATGCTGTAGTAGTAAAGAGGGCGAGGGCGCCGGTGACAGCTGAGGTTGAGATCTTCATGGTCAATAAGTCTGTACTTGACAACCAGTTTCAAGGGTATTCGAAAGGGAATAACTCAAAATAGAGAATGACCACGGTGTTCCTGAGAGAAAGAGTACAGAAGAACAAAACGGAATGCATACTATAGTGAATCAAACACCAGTCTTCATATATACATGAATATACGGTAGCAAATTATAGACATGATCAATTAATCCCTCAATCAACTTCCGACAAGTCCTCAATCCTTCATATCCGTAGGGGATAGCAACCTTCTCAAACCTGCTCTCAACCCGATTCCTATCAATATAGCAACCCGTACAGTCCTGCAAGTCCCCGACGGTATCGGAAAAAGAAAAAGAAAGCCGTCTTTACAGCCAATCATCTCTGAGGTTTCATCACAGCTTAAACAGCCTCAAATCCTTCATGGATGATCGAGCAATGCCAGTCACGATCACCCAGGATAATACCTACTAAACTATCAGAAAGGCACAGACAAGCTCCACCACACGCAAACCGGATAAAGAACGAGGTCACAAGTTGCCAAGTCGCATATGTAATGTGTAACCATGAATATAT